GTACTAAAGTTAGATTAGACTTGCACTAGTAGCGTAGCTAGCATAGGATTAGAAAAATGTGAGCTGCGCTGTGAAAATAGGAAGTCGCCACCATACGCGGAACAGAAAGCGACGAGGTGGACCTTCAAGTGAACGAGGAGGAACTTCTACCACTCGAGACGGACGAGCACACGCCGTCAATGCAAAAATCCGGGAATTCTTCCGTCAGCCCAGGAAGTCGAGTCGTCACCGTCGGAGGCAGCGTGCGACACCCCAGTAGCCGAGCAGCTCCGGAACAGTTCGGGGCCTTTCGAGGAAATGGACCAGCCGGCGCCGGAACCCTCGGCGGCTTACGAACCAGTAACGGAGGACGAATCTGTGGAACTGTTGCACCACCGCCGCTTCGCACCGTTTGGAGGTAAACCCGAATAACCAATTTCTACCAGGTCCCCGAGCAGGGTAGTGGACCGTGGCTAACCCCCTTTCCCTTACTAAGAGCGTAGTGTATCGAGAGACGAGACTTTATTACGTCGTTCCTGAGAACGATCCTAGCAGTAGTTTACGTGTGTGTTGAAACGAGCTCCGACAGGAACCGCTGCGTTTTTCATCGAACGCCGAAGGACCGAGTATTGTACCCCGAACAGGAAATTCCTTACAATTTAAATCAATAAAAATCTTAAATACATATTGCCAAGAAGATTTTCTTCATGTGAAAAGCAACACGTTTAATAATTCTCGGCCTATATGTTAAACTCCGGTGCATTTAGGTCCATTAACGAAGTAAAAACAATCACAATTGCAATGCTGTTGATAGAATTCGAAGCAGACGCGCATGAATGTGTGTGTGTACATGTGTACAGAAATTCTTGGAATTTGTGCTAGCTGCCCTATCCATATTTTGCAATGATTTATCGAGATTTCTCTCGATGTTGTGCAAAATGGTAAAGTATCGCTAACATAAACAGCTGATATATCAACGAAGGCAATCGGCAACCTTAAAAAGGAAATTTAAAATTAGAATAATCCCAGTTTTTAGAATTTGAACATGCCGAAATCTCGAAAAGAGTAAAGAGTAAAATTGAGTCCGTACTGCAAAAGCGCAAAAATTGGAAGAAGAACTTTACGGCGCTTAAGTAAATTAAAGAAACTCGATCAGCTGTTTATTTAAAGAAGCGGAAAGTTTGCCACTCAAACGTTACCAACAACCGGTGGAACGGTAATATGTGAAATTTGACAATGTGACATTTCCTAAACCAGTGGAAAGAGGCTATTAGGCTTTAATTGCTTTTATATGGTCAATATGTATGGCTCTTGCCGTCAGGTCGATGGATTTTTTTTTAAGTCTCAACACTTTACACACGCTTTGGACCAAAGTTTAAAAGTTGTCTAAGTTTAATGAAAGGCTTTATCCCTAATTTGATTTATTTAAAGAATGGTTTCTAGCCTATATCAAACGGCCCTGGTTGTGCCATATTAAAAGCTGAAATACATAACTTATTAAGTATAGGCGGTAAATATCTTTATTTATTTCACAATTATTCAATTAAAATGTGTTTTTTTATGTTTTTAATAACTCAAATAGGTAAATATATGAATTATGTTTCATAACCATGTTCCAAAAATCGTCTCTAAGTAACGGACGCTAACTTGACACACATTCACGAATCACTGAATTAGTTCATCAGTTGATTTGAATAACCTGTTCACTCGAACTTTTTAATATTATTACAACTACCTAAATATCGTCTTAGAATTCACGTGGCTGAGTTAAGAAAAAAAGACTTTACAATGTTAAGAAAACAAGCTAGACAACGAAGAGAATTCCTATATAACAAGTCAATAAATGAACGGGTCTTAACAAAAAAAAAGAATATGAAGATCATAAATGAAAACTTAAAAGATAAAACATCGTTTGGGTCCTCTAATATATTAGACGGCATTAACATGTATAATTCTCTTAAATATTATCCAGGTATGGTATACATAAACACACTATTCTATTTGTGTATATGTATATGTATGTAAGGGCCGTTTGGTCCTACTAATTAATGGAGACGCTCAGTTCTTGGTCTATCCCAAAGGAAATAAGTAAACAAATAAGTTTTTTTTTATTTTTTCATGGTTTACTACAGGCGTCTTCAACCCATAGAGTCCATATGTAAACTGGTAGTCACTATCGACGTGAAGTCCATAAAGCTATATCTTAATATCTAGTTTTATTGTCGATTTTGTCCGATATACCGTCCGAAATTTAATAAGTCTTCTTATTTTATACGTTTATTAGCTATTTGTGCAAGCAAACAAATTATTTTTATTAACGTTTGCGGCATGTTAATTTTTAATAATTATTTAATTCCAAATACCCCTAATCTGCTCAAAAAACAGGATTTCGATATCTATTTTTATCGAAAGACCTACATTTAAAGACTAGCCGTTAAGGATGTCAGATCCCTGAGAGCATACATACGGACGGCGGACAGACAGACGGACAGATGACTATGAAAATTATACCATTAAATCGGGCAACTATTTAATCCAAATTTTCTGTATACAAACAAAAATTGCATGAAATGATTAAAATCTCCATGGCACAAAGAGATGTTCAGCAGGACAATCAAATATATGATTTTTAACAAAAATCAGTGGAAAGTCATGCAAGGGGAAAAGCTTCACCTTCAAAGTATTGGCTGATGAAGCGACATAGACGGCCTCAGCTCCACCTCTATACAATATTCCCCCTATAGCATTAGTAAAAGCTCTCGAAAGATTGAAGTTTATCACCACTTCATTAGATTAAATTAAGCTAAATTCTACTTAATTAAAAAATACATATACATATATTTTATTTCTTGTATAATTTAGATATTGAAGGCGAAACTTTGTCTCACATTGATGAATACAAATATGCTGGTTGCCAGGACCCGAAAATCATGTTAACTACGTCACATGAGCCGTCGTCACGTCTAAAAATATTTATGAAAGAGCTTAGACTAATATTTCCTAATGCCCAACAAATGAATAGAGGCAAATATCAATTAAACACATTAATGCAAGCCTGTCGAGCTAATAATGTTACAGACTTTATAATAGTACATGAGCATCGTGGCATACCTGATAGTCTCGTGATATGTCATTTGCCTTTTGGACCAACTGCTTTTTTTAATATAACAGACGTAACAATGCGGCATGATATTCCTGATATTGGGACCATGAGTGAGCAGAAACCGCACTTAATTTTCAGTAATTTTAAGAGCAACATTGGTCTAAGAACCGTAAACATTTTAAAACATTTGTTTCCTGTACCAAAAGAAAAATCTGAAAGAATAATTTCATTTATTAACAATGAGGACAAAATATCATTCAGACATCATCAATATAAATATATAAACAAGGAAATAAAATTAACGGAAATCGGACCCAGATTTCAACTTAAACTTTATCAGATTAAACTCGGAACATTAGAAAATATTAAAGCTGTTGATACCGAATGGGTTAGTCGTCCGTACCTAAATACAACTATAAAGAATTTAGTTTTTTCAGACAAAGATATTTTTATGAATAAAAATGAATGAAACTTTTAAAAAATTTGTTGTTTGTTGGACGCATGGATATGGAAATACATTTTATAAGTTAGAATTTATTTTGCTAGTTGTGCGATTGAAATTATTCTACTGATCGATAAACGATTGTAGATGATATTTTTTCACGGTTCTGTAAACCAGGGGTTATTTTTTATTAATTATTCCGCTCCCTTTGTCTAAGTTTACGAAACACGAAATAAACAAATAATTTCGTTGATTATTTAAAGGCAGACGTCAACTTTTTATTAATATACTAAAATGAATCGTCAATCGCTGGCGGAGCGAATCAGTTGGCCATGCCTCTTTTGCACTAGTTAGTATGAACCTTTACCTCAAAGAGCACAGATGTGTAAAACAATGTGTTTTAATATTTTGAAGTAATTGTTTAATTTAATTTATCTTCATGTTAATTGGTTTTTGTTTTTGTGTTGGTGCCCTGAAAACGGTTGCCTAAGTACAGCCGAAATATATTGGTGAATATTTAAACAAATTTGTTTTTTTTTTTTCCTTTAATAAAAAACGACGGACTTCGAGCCAGCCAAACAAATATTTATAATACGGAAAGGACGCCAAGTCCAGCATTGAAAAAAATTATATATACCGTGATCTGGGCTGTCACAAGAAACCCCAGAGCGTCGATGTTAATGATGGACGATCTACTTGTATTAATTATTTAGACTTTCCCACCTGAGGCCTCGGGCCATGCCAAAATTTACGTGTTTAAAACTAAATGTCTATTATGATAACTGCTATATTTACACTGATCAAAGTTTGTCCTAAATCAGGTTAATTCTTAGACCTAACTGTATGCACGGACAGAATCACTATGATAGTGATTCATGTGTCTATCAGTTTCGGAACACTTGGAAAATTCGTATTTAAAAGTTTAATTGTAAGATGACCGTTATACCCTTTTTATTCCTTTGTTAAATGGTTATACCCGATAAAATTGGTTGTACTATAACCTGCCTTTAAGCTCTTTGTCTTAGTGAGGTTTACACGGACCCGCACAGAACACGCACAAGTAAGTTTTTAATCATTCCTGTTTTCAGCGGCGGCTTTTTTTTTTCGCCTAAATTCAAAGCCTTGTCTTCCGCATATGAGACAAATGTTTTAATTTTGTAATTGGTTCGCCGCTTATATTAATTTAACTAATTTTGTATATATTTTGATTTTCGAAGAAAGTTAATTTTTTTAGACTCCAAAATGTACATTAATATTTTCAAATATAAAAAGATTCATTGGTTTAAGATTGGGTTCGGCTTTAATTTATCCAAAAAAGTGGAGTTTAAAATTAATAAATCATGTTAATTCCAGTTTTTGTATCGGTTCTGTTTCAATTAGGTTCGCAGATTTTATTGTCCCAAATATTTGTAATGCCTTTTATATAACGTGGCATTGTTAAAAACAAACCAAAAATTGCAAATTAAGGTCAAACAATTCCTTAAATTATTTTTATTTGAAAGTTGACATATGTTTTTGTAGTATACAATTCTTACATTCGAAACAATATTTATTTTTATTATTTATTAAAATTTCTTCGAATTATATACGTAATAATAATCAGGTTTGTAATGTTTCATCTAAGTCTTCTTCCTTTACAGCTGCATGAACTGTAACTCTTTTTAAAAGTTTTGATACTACATCACTTAACGAGTCTTTTGCTCCCGTTTCTAAGACCTCACATGTCTTTTTAAACGTTGTCTCATCAGATCTTAACCTCAGTATAGATATAAGGGCTAATTCTGAATTGGATTTAACGTAGCCATTTTTCTCTTTAGTGCCGTTTACTAGTGTTGGAACTAAAATTTTTAGAACATCGAGATGTATTTGGTCAGGACTAAGGTTTTTAGCAAGGTGGATACAACTCTTTGCAACAAGTTGTTTCACATCATTACTACTATGGTTCATTGCCCTAGCTAGTGCCACTATTAGGCTATTTGGAGGATCATCTCTTTCGATAAGTTTGTATTCTAAAAGATATGTCGCAGCTCGGACAGCGTTACAAGCAATGGGTACTTTTTCCGATAAAATATTAACTGATATTTTTCCAATTACTCTATCATAAAAAGGCGGTGCTAACACTTCCTTAGGACATTCTTTAAGGGCAACAAAAAGAATAATTGTGTAGCCATGTTTAGTAAATGCATCCTCCGAATTATCTGCCAGTATGCAATTATTTAAGAAATCAGAAATTTGGGCTGATGGCATGTATTTTAGCATAGCACCTAAGCACCCACCAACTGCATTTCTAGTAATATCCTCTTGATGTCCAATTAAACCCAATAATGTAGAAAAAATCTGTTTTTTTATTGGTTCAGACATTTTGTCTCCCGATGGAGTAATAATGCTACGAAGTGCGTGCAGCATTGTTTCCCTTACAGAAGAATCATCCGAACTTTTTATACCATTGTGAATTTCAATAAATAGTGGATCAGCTCTAGTGTGTATAGCGACTAATTCCGATAGTGCTTTACCTGCTTTCATTCGAACGTTTCTATTCTGATCATGCAAGGCTTTCAAAAAAGTAGTTTGTAGTTGTGGTAAAAATTGTTTTAATATAACACCAACTTTGTGGAGCAAAATTGCTAATGTTTCTAAAACAGCTGCCTTAACGCCAGAATTAAATCGATCTCCTAATATTCGAATCAATGGTCCAGTAATATGTACGACGGATGGCTGCAGTGAATTGGCGCTTGTTAGAAAAATAACTTCACCAAGGCCTTGAGCAGCATTTTCTTTTTCGTCAGGTAACCCATTTAAAATAGCTTCTCGAAAAACAGGCAATAAAGGCGCTATTCCCTTTGGTAAGCAGAAGCCAGGTAATTCTGGCTCCTTCAATTCACTGGCAGCAAACCTAACTGCTTGCCGGAGATCAGTAACGCAACCAATTTGTTCAGTTGGAGTTAGGCCTTTTATTACAGCATTTAATGCTTCCCAAGCTTTCTGAATTATACCCTTATCCGTATCTGCCATTAATCGTAGTAAGCAACGAAGAAGTTGAGGAATATATTGAGAATAATCTCCAGGGGAATGAATGCAAAAAGCAGAAAGTAAACTCGCTGAAGATTTACGAGTACATACATTAGTTGACTTTGCAGAAATCATAAGTGTATCCATTATAGTGCGAATTCCAACTTCGTCTGTCACTGATAAAATAACAGTCTGGCAGTACTCTAATTCTTGTAATTCATGAGCTGAACCATGGGATTCGGACAATGTTTCTAACAATGCGGATAAGATTTTTGGTAAATATTTTGTTAATGCATCACCAGCAACAGAAACTAAAATCGATAAGGCTTTTGTGTTTACTGGATGTGTAGTTAACTGTGGAACAAGGTAAGGTAATACAACTCGTGACTTTATAGACATTACTTGCCGTAAACCGTCTAATGTATTCTCTGCAATCAAAGGATCCGGGTCGGAGAGCCCTTCTAACATGTAGGGTAAAATATCATCCAGTGCTCGGGATCCTACGGTACTATGCAGGGAATCAAATGTCTTCGCAGCTGCTACGCGAACCTCGGGCAAGGGATCTGCTAAGGCCTTACGCACGGTTGGAACCAAGCTGTGTACAAATGTTAGAACCATTTCTTTTGATGTTGACGCCATAATTTCAGATAAGCCAATGCAAACACCTTGCCTCTGATCTGGGTGCTCTGAATTTAATCCACTTTCTAGTATCGGAATTATTTCGGGTAAAACCCTTTCACCAAGTTTCCTTACTAGATCTCCTAAAGTTCGTGCTGCAACTTGTCGTTTATCATAGCTTGTACTTGCTAAGCACCCAAGCAACAATCCGAACAATGTTGGTAAAATCTCTCTTAGTGTTCTGGGCGTGTTTGTAACAACTATTTTCCAAACATGTAGCGCAGATTGACGGACCATTAACGATACGTCACTTCGACCCATATAAAGTCCAGAGAGTACTCTATTACGGCGTTCATCACCTAAGAAACGAATTATGGCCGTATGTGACTGTTCGGTGCCAAAATTGTCATCTTCACTAGCCGTTTCTGTCGTCATTTTTCCAGATACACCGGATATACGATATAATAAGTCCCCGAGTAATTGTACAGAACTATATCGAATTCGCCAGTTCTCGTCGAATAAACCCTTTTCTAATTCTGGTAGCAGGAGCGCAACTGCAGATTCTGCGTATAAATTAACGATCCTTTGCCCAGCTCTTAAAGCTGTATCACGTACATATTCACTTTCATCTGCTAATGCCTTAAGTATTGGATTTATTATTTGCCCAATATAAGGTGTAAATTCTTCGGGAAATGCACCTGGCATATATATAAACATCATGATATACCCATCTTTTACATGTGGAGCAATATCAGTTCGTTCTGCAGTAGCAATTATTTCCGGCATTAGCTTATGCATTTTTTCCACACCGAGTCCTCCAACTACCTCAGAAAGTCCTTGTGCTGCGCCACTTCGATCCACACTACTAGATTCTGAAGTTAATGTTTGCATTAACCAGGGAAGTAAGTCTTCAAATGAGGTTTCACCCATTCCTTTAACCATTGCACCAAGAGCACGAGCAGAGACTGCTCTAACTTCTGGAACTGGATCTAGTAACGAAGATTTTAACCCAGGAATTATACTTGGGAGATATGGTGTCAAATCCTTTTGATCTGTAAGTGAGTACATATTCCCAATTATTTGGGCAGCCATTTTTCTTGTTTCTGTAGATCTATCCATAAATGCTCTTTGAACAACCGGCATTATAAGAGCTAATGAAGGAGCATCTATAAAATGTACAAATTTTGTTTTTAACAAGCTGTGAAGACATGCTGATGTGTTGTTAGAAGGATCTTCTAATGCTTTTAATAAAACAGGAACAATAGCTTGAATTTCAGGATTCTTTATAACGGATCCTATTACTTTAAGAGCATCTGCACCAGCTTCTTGTACTTTTGTATGGGAATCCCCAAGAACTTCTATTAACTTTGGAACTATACTGGGCAAACATGATGATAACTGTTTTGGAGCGCAAAATGCCATAGCACCCAATAATTCAACCGAAGCCGTTTTTGTTCTCCAGGAATCTTCATCTAAAGCTTGTAATAAAGATGGAAGAACCAATTTAACTCCATGAGCAGAAAGCTTTCCCATAACCACTTTGGCAGTATCATCAGCAGCTTGCCGAACGTATTGGGAAGGATCGCCAAAGCATTGTAACAAGTGAGGTAAAACATGGACTATGTACGGTTCAAACAAGCGACCAAGTGTATTACATAAAACTTCAAATGCAAATAGAGCACCCTCACGACTTCTGTAATTTTTCTTGTCTTGTATATACGACGTCAGCTTTGACATTATGTCTAATTGTTTCAGCGATAAAATTCCAAGTCCTTTTACAATTCCAGCAATTCCGTAAGCAGCACCTCTTCTTTCACCGTATTTATCTGATTTAGCCAATGAATGTAATAATTTTTTAACCATGGCTGGCGCTTCTTCCTTAACAGACAGCATAAGATGTGGTAGACAATTTGATACTGCTTCCTGAACTTGTTGAGATGGTGTAGAAAGAGCAGTTATTAACCGTTTGACTATTGGATCAATGCGTTTATCTTCCTTTTCCAAATGCCTAGCCAAGGAACCCATAAGGATTACAACAGCCTGACGTATGTTATCATAACTTTGGGACTTTGGAGCTTTGTCAAGAAATTCTTCAAAAACGGGCAGTAAACTTCCAATTGTTTCTTTACCATGTATATCAACAATCCTTAATGCAGCAGCCAGCATCTCTTTATGTACAACTTCCTCGCGATCACCTAGACCTTGGGACACCATAAATTGCATTAAAAAATTTATATCTTCAATAGATAAAAACTGTGCAATTTGAGATATTGCAATAGCGACACCTCTTCTAGGCTTCCATTGATCAGAGGCTGGCTCAATTTCACGATCAAATTTATCCAGTTTTGGAGGAATTAAAGTTAGTTTCTCATTATAAATATCTAACATTTTCATTAATCCACATTTTACTAAACTGTTATTGTTTATTATTAGTGGTATTAAAGACTCCGCGGATGCTTTTTGTATACAGAGTTCTGAATGTGTAATGTCACATATAATATCATTAAACTCTGGATAAGAAAGATTAGCTGAGTCCCAAATATCGGCAGCAAGCTTTTTTATATTTGATGATGTATCGAATTTTGCTATCCACAATCTCGCGACTATTTGTTTTTTCAATTCATCATCAGATTCCGAATAATCAACTATTGAGTTAATCATGATTTGAATTGCACGTAAGGATACATCTCTTATAATATCACTATTACTTTGCAATGCATCTAAAAATAATCGAATTATATGATGATCTGGAGTAGCATTTAATTTTCCACCAGATGAAACACATGCAACTTCCAAAAGAGCATTTACGGCTTGCGTTTGGATTTCCGTAGAGTTGTTTTGTATCAAATAAAGTAATATGCGAAACATACCCAGTCTTGGCAAGTAATTTGGATGAATGCAGTCAACTGTATCATTGTCTTCGGTTTTTACGTGGAGTTCTATCAGCTTTATACTAATTAATATATTTTCGTGATTTGTGTTATCATTGAAGCAAGGGATGGCACGTTTAAGAAATTCGAAAGCATAAGAGAACGATTGTGAATCCAATTTGTTTGAATTTTCAATTACATGCTTATTAAGTTTTGATATTACATCATCGATACTTTCCAGTATATTTTGGGCATTCCATTCGTCCTTTAAAGTACAGGATGGTTTTTGAAGTCTTATTGTTGCAATGGAAATATCGCGGCCCAATTCTGAATGATTTTTAAAACACATTTTGTGTAGGAAATAGTACAGATCTGTCAAAGGTTCAGCACTTAAAGGGCTATAGGTTGCTCGTAAAATATCATCTAATAATGTATGAAAATTTAACGCAATATATTTTTCATTTCCAGTGCATGAAGCTTTGAACAAACATATTACACTCATCAATTTGTCAAACATGTTTTGAACACGCAATTTTATACGCATTTCTTTCTCTGTTTGGTTTTTTATTAACTCTTGTTGTTTTTGAGTCAATTTTACAGTTTTAGATTTACCTTCTTTTTGGCGTTTTTCGTCAATTTCACGACGAAGTTGAATTTCTTCCAACTGTTCTTTATAGCTGTACACCTTATTTTCTCGTTTAATGCCAATAGTTTTGTATTGTGAATCAATATGTGGTATTACATTTTTATCATACAATTCTCCTTCTGGTGTCATAAATATGAAGAATTCTTCATTAGTGACATAAAAATTGCTGTCAACATTCAGAAACATTTTAATTCGTGTTACAATATGCGGCACTATCGTGTGTGGGTTTATTCGTACCAAAGCAGAAATAACATTTTCGTAAACTGGGGATATTTTAAAATTATCTATATATGTTTCAACAAGTTGCTTCTGATTTGTTGTAATAAAGTGTTCGGGATTCAAATTAAAATTCTCTTGAATTGTGGTTTCCCAAAAGTATGGACTAATAGATAATATTGCTGGAAAATTACCTATTTCCAAAAGTTGTATGGTTAACTCGAGGGAATCTTCGTGAGTGACGTTTTGTAAGGAACAAAGAACTTCTAATGCATCTAAAAGTGCTAGATTTGGTGTACCAGTGTGTTCAGAATAATTATCAACTTCAATTTGCATTTTTTCTGAGTTTAAAAGGTTACTATACTCTTTAAGAGCAAGTTTAACAAAGTCTACGCCATCAGAACTCTTTGTGATTTCCTTAATTTGTCCTTTTGTATAAGACCTTACTTTAAGTACACAACTACATAAGTTATAAAGTAATGCTCTGTGTAGCGGATCTACCGGACCCTTAATTTGGTCTAAATATGATGTAAACAAGATTTTAGCCATAAATGAAATGTGGCATAACGTTTCCGCCGTTGCTGTCGCAATTAATTTTTCATTAAAGAAATATTGCTTACTCATATCAAATATGGAGTTCCAGAAGAATGAATATAATTCAGATGGTTTATCTAATATCAGCAAAAGGCAGGCGATACATGCTGCCTCTGATATGTATGATAAATTAGAAAAATGTTGTTGTGCACTTGAATACAAAGTATACAATGTTGGAACTATATTGCTTGTATTTTTAATACTGGCATTTTGTATCGATGATAGTAGCCACTCAAGGTAACTTTGTCGAATAACTTGAGTTGTATTTTTGTGCTCTATGCCGGATTTAAAAATGTTAATAATTACACTGGGTACTTCATTCTTAAACCTTCCGCACCACAGTGCAAACATTTCTAGTGTACAGCATATCACCTTTTCCTGTGATTCAAATTCAAGCGCTTTCCAAAACAAGTCGACAGCCTTATTTAATATTTCATTTAAATCATCCGCATGAACATTGTTAAAACTTAAATATCCAGCACCCTGAAATTAGAAAGAAAAAATTATAATAATTAAATGGATGTGATAAGCGTAAATGGACAAATAAATTTGTGTTTTATTTAATACTACAAAAAGTTACCTAATTAGCAATGTTTTCCCTATTAGCCAGCATAAAGCTCATAGAATAGAGGTACTATCTGAGGATCCCCGCGATGCAACGAGTCAGGGGTACTACGCGAGTCAACGAGTACTATCTCGAAGCTGGACTTGAAGCATGGATACTGGCATATACCGATGGAGGAGAGTAGCAAGCAGTATACAGCATGTACGGTCCCAGGCCGGGGGCTATACAAGTAGAAGGTACACTCGGTCTGCACTCTGCGTGTGCCACGTTTCAGAGAGCTTTGAATTCCGTAATAGGACCGGATATGGAAGCCCACCCATTCGCCTACTTGGACGACATCATTGTCATAGGTACCACAAAGGAGCAGCACGTGGCCAATTTGGAGGGTGTTCTGGCGGTTAAGGGAGGCTAAATTGAGGCCGAACCAAGGAAGCGCCATTTCTTTCAGAAGGAACTGGTGTACTTGAGACATGTGGTGAGCGGCAACAGAATCCACATTGGCCCTACGAAGGTGCTGGCCATCCAGAGGTTAACGGTTCCGTCGAACTGCAAAGAGCTCTGCAGTGCCTGGAGTGGCATCGTAGAATCGAATTTTCGATCGTGCAGCCGATGACCGCTCTTTTGACGAAAGGGAAGGCGTGATCGTGAGGCGTAGAACAAGCAGACAGATGTTTCACGTGCAGTACCGGCGGGGGAACATGAACGTAGTAGCAGATAGGTTTAGGCCGCGGAAAAGCAACACCCCTGCGAATGGACCATAAGTATGCTGACAACAGTTGTTAAGGGCCCAGAAAAGTACCGGGGGTATGGGAACGGCCAACTTTATCGCCACCTAGGATACATAGCCGATGACGCATAATACGTCCCGTGAAAATTATGCGTAACCGTCAGCCATCAGCAGAGTCCTGCAGGAATGCCACAATACCTCTAACGGGCCATCAAGGAGTACAGAAAACGTTATCTTGACTGAAAATAAATTCTACTAGCCAGGGATGTTCCGGGATGCTGCACGACACGTATCATGCTGCGAAGTATGCTAAACATTCTTAGTGGGACAACGGAGGACAGGCCGGGCGGATGATAACGCGCCAGGTGATGGTGATACGCTGCTGATAGTATTCCACGGCGCATACAGTAAATGGGTGAAGTTAGTCCCTTTGAGGAAAGCAACAGCAGATCATCTCTAGAGGGCGTTCCGAGAGCGAATACTCTGTCGATTTGAAGTTCCTCGAAAGTTCGTTTGCGACAAGGTTTTTCTGAGCTCCAGCGGCAAAGAGGTGCAATGCATGGCACCGTACTGCCTTGAGGAGTACCTAGCCGAGCGGACAAACCGAACACTCAAAAGGATGATTTCCCAGTGGATGATTCAGTTTTTAAAATTAAATTAAAAAGAGCATATCGTGCCTATAAATCAATAATATTTGGGTTTAAATCCTCACATCTAGAGTTTCATGGCTTCAACTGTCTGTCACCACCCGCGTTCATTAGTAATGCGATATTTGGTAATTTATATACTTTATGATGACCAAGGACCCGCTAGGAACAACTTATTTTATATACTTTTTTTTAACCATTTTCAATAGGTTCGGGAATAAAAATAAAATGGATATAATTCTTGGCATGCGTGGTCAAATTTTTTAGTAGTAACTTTTTTATTTGTTTAAAGTGGGATTCATAGGAAGAAGCAGACTATATTTTAGACCATATTGTAACAATCTGGTAGATCTGGTACTGTGTAAGAGTTACTATAAGTCGAGTCAGCTGCTACTCGGATGTTAATGATCTAAGCTATTTACTCATTGCTAGCTTGACAGTGTTGAGAAAAAGGAGCAAGAGTCGATTTTAAAACTCGTATGAGAGTGAATGTGCTCGAAAATAAATTGTACAATTAAGAAATATACATACAAGAGGTTCTAGTCGGGAGCTCCCGACTAGGGGATACCCTGAACCCTCTTCTTCCAACATCAAATGCATAAATATATTATATTTTAGAAGCTATATGTCAAGGTTGGTAACTCTAGCTCTTATTACTTACCAAAATTGCCCAAAAAAACACGATATATATATATCAATTTTTATCGATTGCTTGAAAACGGGGTAAGTTATCGATTATCGGAAACAAACTCGATCTGCGCAGGCACTAGGAGCACCTACATCTAAAATTTCTCTAGCTCTAGTCTCTAGCTCTTATAGATTCTGAGATCCTTGCGTTCATACATACAGACGGATGGACAGACAGACGGACATGGCTAGATCGACTCGGTTATTGACGCTGATCAATATATATACTTTATGGGGTCGGAGATGCTTCCTTCTGCCCGTTACATACATTTGCATTTTGCACAAATACAATATACCCTTTTTACCCATTTTTTATGGGTTCAGGGAATAAAAAAGTACGTCCAATCCCACATTCAAAACCGAACTTGTATAATCACCTGATCTTGTAGCTATCAAAGAAGCAAAAGAGATGGACTGCTGTGTAATCGAAATAACAGGCAAAATATTTGCAGTCAGAAGCTGTAGGGCACTTGCAAAGGCAAGTTAGGGCCTGGAGACTCGCTCAACAGTTTTAAGCTATTGTATTGAGTGCCCAGGGCTTTGAGCTGATCGATTAAGTTGGCGCATACCAAAAATAGGACCCTTAACTCATTTCAATATCAAATTGCGTACACTAATCGCAACCCATTACAAACAAACTCAGAAGTCAGACAACGAGTGTTACCAACAACTACAACAAGCCGGTGAATATAGAATATAACAAAGTATAGAAGAACAATTATTTGAAGATCAAATATTTCCTAAAATATTTAGCCAAGTAGTTTCTAAAGATCCTTCAATTTTTTTTACATAAAATAAGAAGCCAACTGATGTTTTGTTGTATGATTTTGGTAATTATTTTCAGGGTATATAGACATTGTCTCTTGGTGCTTATATTGCATTTGCTCTTAGCAAACCCCTATCAGATCTAAACTAAAAATCAAAGTTCTTGGCACATCTGACTTAGAGTGGCATATAGACGACATTGGATACATCCACTCTGCTTCTCGCGCTGGTCACTTGGGAGTATATTTGATGTCTAAAGTTGGATTAGTTTAAAATAGACATTTTACTTTTTTGAACCGCATTATTGCGGTAGCATAAATCAAAACGAATAAATAGCAAGTAATCATTTACAATGACTACTTACTAGAGACGTATACAGCTAAAACTGTTTACGATAAAATTAAAAACAAATGTTTAGGTTATTGAATATAAACTTACTTGCAATAATTTAACTCTGTACTCCACAACATTTATTTTTCCATCAGATCCATTTAAAATAGAGAAAATTAATTCCAACAATTTTTGAATGACGTTGCCATCTGAGCATTTCTCTGCCAGACTTTTTAAGGACTCTACAGATTCACGGCGAGCAATTTCTCCTTTGCTGTATAAATTTTTAATTAAAACCGCTCCTATTTGACCCGCGTATGTGCTACAGTCAATATTAATTAGATTAAAAATTATTCCAACGCTTTCCAAAGTATTTTCTGGACTGCGCAACATCGACTTTTGTAAATCATTATAAATGTATGACGAAAATTCCGAATTATCAATTTTGGATAGTAATGGTTGACAAGCAGTTATAAAAACATTTTCCGGTTTGGACTTGCACAATATCATACTTTTTACAAAGTATTCTATAGATTTTATCTTATGTGTTTTCAGTATATTGAATTGGTTGTGTTCGGTTTCAAATCGTATCATCGTCATTATCATTATCGTAACGCTTGTAGTTGCTTCCATTTCAAAAATTGCCTCCATTGTATCATCAAACATATTATTATTCTCCCATAAATCATATATTATTTTTGTAGCTGCTTCTGTAACACGTGTATTTTGAGCTAGTAAACTTGTTTGATATAATTTTGACTGATATTCAAATAACCTAAACTTTTCCGTTTTGTAAATATTTGAGTCTCTGTTTGTATTTTTTAAAAGTAAACAAATCCATCCTAAGGCTACAACTGCTGATCTACAAGATTTATGAGCAGGTAACAATGGTAACTCTTTTAGCAAAAGTGTTTTAAATACACTTAGCATATGCTCTATAGTTAAATCATGATGAGACGTTGTTAAATCACAAATTAGCTTTCGAACTAGTAGCTGAGATGGAGCATCCTTGTACTTAGATATCGTTGTTCCTATCACTTTACAAATACCTCGAACGATTGCTGAATTTACACCTAAAATGAAAAAACAGTATATTAATTAAATTATATTTATTTAAAAATATTCAAAGAATTTTAGATAATACATTTTTAGTATTAATTCGACTCTTCTGGGTTAACTAGCCAATTAAATTTATCTGTCCCTACTAGATTAACACGTACATCTTTATTGTTTTAATTTTGTTCAACTAACTATGCCTTGCATGAACCGTTCGGTGTGCTCTGTGATGATTATAACAAGCATTATGGATCTTCATCTTATTGTCTTAGCATATGGACGTAGTTTGTATTCTATTTTGTACTTCGCGACTCATGTCGTGACCCATCGGGCCATACGCCATATACTATGGTGCGACATCATCTAACTTTTTACCTGAGAAGTTGTCTCACCACAACGCTTAGGCATCTACTTAATGTTTTCCCCCATTTTCTGTCACCAACACCAACAATCTTTCCGACGAAACCACTGTTGCATGACTCAACAGACTTGGGTTTTCTGGGGTCTACCATATCTCCCCGGGTCTTTTCTTACACGGTTGTCGTGAGAGGTTGATTCGACAAAGGGATGGTCCATGAGGACGCAGACGGCAAGATGACTTAGTAGAACAGAGGCGCCTTCATGTAATGGACCTATGAATTGCTCAGTGCCATTGATAGATAAAGCACAGATTTAAGCTCAAACGATAGTTTCTTCCCCTGCGCAGCAGTGATAGGTCGCGGGCCCGATCGATAGTTGAGCTTTCTGAAGAAACTGAAGAGGATTTGGAGACACGATAGCCAGGAAGTGTGTGCGCCTCAAATACACAATATTAGGCATTGAAGTCGCTATTAATCGGTTGAACAAATCCATTGTGTTGTCATATCCCCAGCACCTTCAAAAGAATAAGGATTGGACCGCTGTTTCTAGACATTCGGTTCATGCCTCTGCTCCACAAAGAGCCAGGGTTCGCACGGAGCACAGGGCAGATATTCCCATTTTAGAAATCTATTTTTTGAATGTTTATCTGAATGTTGGATTGTTTAGGCTGCCTATTAAGAGGGGGCTATTTTTCCCAAATCTTGGAATATCTGATCAAAGTATGTTTAGTCTCTTTGCCCAGATCCCAAGTAGTTCGGTGTCCTTTAAAGAGTATAGACAAGCCGTTCCGGTCTATTTACCCCTCAAACAAAAGTTTCTGACCTAGATAAGCGACGCATAGTAAATAATGATAGCAACCCACTAAGGTTACACTTCTTATGTTTTATCTTACATTATCTTTCATTCCTCGTTTGTAGTTTTTCGCTCGCCCCATTCTTAAAATAACTGCACAAAAATGAGCGTGGCTTTAAGTACCAGAGTGAATTACATTTCAGTGGTTAAACCGTACTCTGTCGATAATCTATTTCTTAAAAGAATTTAAATTGTTGCTCTTTACCTTTGTTAAGGCATAATTTACGCATCTTTTATTTATGCAAGAACATTCATTTCGAGCGGTCGTTCATATGGCAGCATTTTATGTAGTATTAATATGGCCTATGTTATGTTGCGGTGTCGATTGCTATAATTGAAAGATACTTATCCTAGTATATGCCAAGTTTGGCGACTCGAGCTCTTAAAACACAAGAAATTGTTCAAAAAACGTGATTTCAATATCGATAGCATAAAAACTGGACAAGTTATCGATTATAGGAATCTCATACTGTGCGGGCACTAGGCGGGCCTCTGAAAGGTTTTGAGACCGGCTTGTTCTCATATCCGGGCAGACGGACATAGAGTAGCAAGATTATAATCATGAGACACGACAAACAGGGCTAAGAAACTGCCGCTCGACCGGCTTATAAGGCATACAAAAAAAAACTAGAAGCATTGTATAAAAGCGATCTTAGCGCAAGGATCCAATGAGTCACTTGGGTGCCATGGCCAAAAACTAATTGTTAACAAATAAATTTGAAGCTCAGATAGAAAAAAGGAACTTAAATGCGCCTAGTCTAGGTTAATACATAAATTTGCTCGATTTTCTAAATTAAAGACTCACTATCGCTCAATTGAGTTATCCCTTGGCTGTTTATTTATTGGAATTAACCTGTGCTAGTCTACGATATAAATATGTACATATGTATGAACATAGATCAGTTCACACTTACCGGGATTGTTAAGTACTGCACAGACATTTTGAAAGAGGGACAATCGTTCCTCCACTGAAACATTTAGCACTCTGTTGGGCAAATCACGAAGCGCACTCGATAACTAAAACAAACATTGTGAGAATTTTATTAAATATTTTTTGAATGAACTTACTGCCTTAGGAAAATCCATTTTTCCAGAAAGCAAACGTGTGAATTAAGTTAGTGATGGTTAATAATTTGTACAGCAACATGGTTGATATATTCATGTACATCGATCAGTTTAATATTGTGTTTCCAATAACACAACGTTTGCAGCTGCATCCAAGATTGTCAGGATATAAACGCGTGACATATATTTGATGATTGAGCAATTTTAAATCCCTGTGTGATTACATAAAAAAATCAGAAATCGTCATAGGCAATGCACACTGAATAATCTTTTGCGGAATGAATAAAATTTATTGCAGATAATGCATAGATACACAAAACAGCGTTTTAATCGTATCTCGATTCATCGCAGCAAGTGAGCGCCATGGGTGTCTGACACCATTTAAGTGTGGTCAGCACAACGGTGCTGTAAGACTGCTGAGATTGGCAGTCGAACGACGTTTAACCAATTTTCAATGGGTTCAGGGTATAAAAACGAATTACAATAGCAGCACAGAAAACAATACAATCGCAATTGCAATGCTGTTGATAGAATTCAAAGAAGACGCGCAAGAATGTTTGTGTATGTATACGTATACAGAGATTCTTGCAATTGGCGGTTGCTGCTCCTAACTGGAGGCCAGCCAAAACATGTTTACCTTAATAATTTCTGTGGTTCTTAATAGATTTTAATAACTTTTTCTACAGTAGATCTAATTGTGCTTAAGATTATTCATATATTCTTAAAATTACAATTGCATTTATATTGTGTCTTAAATTGGTAGGCAGTATTAACTGTTTTTAGTTATTTGTTTTATATCTATGATTGATGGTCGGTGAAAATATTTATTTCTTTGGTTTCATGTAAGTAATTTTGTAACTGTACTAAGGCCCATACAATGGCTAACAATTCCCTCTTGTATGTCGCGTAATGCGATTCACTTTGCTTAAGCGTTTCGGAGAGCATTATGATGGCTGATGAATGGCTCTGATGCTGCTCATGAAAGTATCAGAGATTAGGTTATATATTAGGTTATATGCACATCTATGCGAACGGGCGTTTTGAAGGGCAATGGTATCCCAAAGGGCACCCGTTTCTCTCTCTTCCTGATCTCTCTGCGCAGTTGATCGTCAACTTGGCGTTGCTATTTCTGAGCTCCTGCCCCAAATGCGACACATTATTGGATATCTACTGCGATTTAATAAAGTATAACCAATTTTGCTATGTCTTTATTTATAAATTACCAATTGCAATATATAAGTTTGGAATTCGATAATTTCATTTATTAAAATTCTGTTTTATTTTCTCTAACTCTTAATTGTTAACAAAACTTCGGCGCTATGCTTACATTCATAAATTAGCTCAAAAGAGCTAGTTCTGAAGAGAAAGACTTAGTTACGACTGTTAGAAGCTTGCGTAAGTTAATAATATATTTTAATTTACGCGTATTTATTGTACAATACGTAAAACCTTTTTCTTTATCAGTTATAAAATGCAGGGGCTTGGATTACAAAGTCTTAAGAAAAATCCTGCGGTATGTGAAACCATCTAAATCTCTTATATTACGTAATCGTCATAAATATTTGTTTTATATGTATTTGCGTAAATGCTCATATAGTTGATCCCGCTCTACGTTTGCGTGGCTGCAGGAGCAGTTGGAGCGGTTTATTATATGGCTCGCCTAGCTACAAGGAATCCGGATGTCACTTGGAATCGCTCATCCAATCCGGAGCCATGGCAAGAATATAAAGACAAACAATATAAGGTACGCTCATCAGAATTCATAATATGTATAAATTATTTGCATGAATGCATGAATGATTTGTACAAAAAAGATATATAAAATAGTATTAATAAGTACATTATATAATGGATTATTTACTTGTTTATTTTCAGTTCTATTCACCCGTAAGAGATTATTCTAAAACAAAGAGTGCTGCTCCGACCTTTGACGAATAAGATTTTCAGATGGAAATTGTATTAAATTAATTGTCAAAATAAATGCATTAATGTGCTGCTTATTGTTCTATATGTATGTATTATCGATTTCTACTTTAATGATGGCCGTGTAGTTATACGCACACACATACATATATGCCTTAACTTAACCAAGACTTCATCATAGTAAAAGAGAATTGTCGATGGCTTGTATGCATTATTATTGGTTGATTTATTAAAAAAGGCCTCAACATGTGTATAAATGAATATTTGTATATATTTATATACCAAGATATGAAAGAAAGAAAATTTTATTGGTGAGTGACTGAGTCGGTTTAGAAAAGCGTAACGGGGAGATTTAAAACTTGAAAAGGTTGTATCTACAATTTGAAGCACGAAGCTTGTTCCGGGCAAGTTTGGAGAATACTTGCTATTATATATATAGTCTAACAGGAATAATAACATAATTTTAAAAGAGAAATTATTTTCGACCGAACATTATATGTCCTCTGTCTTATGGTATTGTTAGTGGACACTCAACACTGAATACTGAACTGAATGCTTCACAACACACTGGTCTCTTTTTACTCTTGCCCACGGCACAATACTGCCAGTTACACAGTTTTTGCCTTACTTGTCAATGACACCAATTAATACTTTTCTCTGTCGAACTCGAGACAGGCCGCACCGCTTGCTATGCCTCCAAAGCCACGCCAACAGTTAAGTATTATTGAGAAGAAAAAAAAAAAAATTAAAATAACAGCACAGAAAACAATCACAATTGCAATGCTGTTGATAGAATTCGAAGCAAACGCGCATGAATGTGTGTGTACATGTATACAGCAATACTAGCTGCCCCATATTTAACTTGGAATTTTTCTACAGTAAATCTTATTAAACTATAGAATATTTGTGTATTCTCTAAATATCAATTGCATTAAAATTGTGGCCTTAATTGGTTGGCAATGCAAGTTGCATTATTAACTTGATTTATAGCTCTGCGGTAGTAGCGGGGAGGTGGCGATAGGTATAAAATGAAAGATACTCTTACACGCGCCTCTAGTATGTGCTTTTTAGAATTTATTTATTAACATATTGCTGCTTGGCAGCCAACTCGAAATAGTTTTGCCTAAGTTGCGATCAATCGAAAAACTAATGATATGTAGATCCAACTAAATGGAGCTTTGCTCAGAACGATGGGCAGCAGGCGGTAATGTAGGAGGCTAAGGGCCGACGAAAGAGAGTGGGCAGCAGCTTACAAAGAGCGCGCAACTGACCAAACTTCTAAGCAGCAGCATAATTAGCGTTTGACATGTATAGGGGTGTTCCTTTGAGGCATGAACATAGATTTTGCAGTTTTCAATGTAGGTCAAATACGGATCCTCGTTATTGACCATTGTGGACATGTTCGAGAAATCGGTCCATTCTAAGTAGCTTCCGCTAAACTCCGGTAATTTAAGTTGTAGTAAAACGCAGGACGTTGGCTGTGGCTAAATCGAAAGAGGAACAATGTGAAATCTGCTGAGCCTCGCTTCGATTTCCGCGCTAGCGTTGGAGGGACACCCGTAGACGCTTCATATTTGTTTCAAGACTTGACTGAAGATCCTCTTCAATGTTTCATTGCTTCAAATTTCACCTATACTTGACCCATTTTTTTGTTTTTATACCCGTTACGATGTATTTTTGCATTTTTCCGACCCATAAAGTATATATTTTCTTTATCAGCCTCAATAGCCAACTCGATCCACCTTGAATCTATAAGCGCTAGAGACATCAAATTAGGAACGTATGTCCTCCTTGTGCCCGCACAGTACGAACTAGTTTCCGACTTGCTCAGTTTCCAATCAACCGATAAAAAATAGTTATCGAAATGCTTTTTTTTTGTTTTAGCAAATCGCTTATGTTTTAAGAACTGGGGTCACAATAATTGACATGTACTTTCTGAAAAGTATAAACATCATGTATCTTTCAGGGTAAGGCTATTGTCACTGCTCCGTGCTCTCGTAAATTATTAGAGCTGGTCATTAGTTCGACTTTCACTCTCAACAGTTTAACTTTCTCTGGGCATAACAAAAGGTTCGCAAGCACTCATTGCGAATAACGCGAATACAAAATTCATATATCGATTATTGAAACTTTTCAAGCATCTGCATGGGAAGTGTTATAAGGTTTCCTAAAACATTTATCTTCAAAGTAAAGCGCGTAATGGGTATTTATCTCAAAAATGATTAAGTTATTGCATGGTTGGCGGGGCAAACTAAAATCTTGTTTAAGCGGGTTTTAAGACCATTGTCGCAGAATTAATATATTTAAAATATGGGGAAAACATAATTTTTTATGCACAAAATCAAAAAACTACCGATGAAGAAGTGTATTTTAGGAATGTATTTACTGTCAGCATTCATTTGTTTTTCAATTTAAGCTTATAAAGTGAGTCCCTTGATTTAAAGACAAATGTATATGGTATTGTATTTAAAAACATACCAGTTCCGGAACCAAATTCCAAAATCGCCGCTAGCTCACCGTTGCTAATTTGACGAAAGTCACATTTTGTTAGTTTACTCACTAAGAGTAGTTCAATCGAAATTTCGCAGAACGATTATATACGATATTTATTTACTTACTGCCTTCAAGAACATTAAGGATGTCCAGATTATTATTTATGTCTTTTATAAAACCTAATTGGCGAGCCTCTACGTCAATAAAGCTTGGAAATCACATAAACACTCTGTTCCCTCCATCAGATTGTACATTATCCCGCAACATTAGCTTTTTTAACAAATGTAAGTACACATTTAACCTATGAATACATAAATGTGTGCATGCATATGTACTAAAAAACATATTGTGCTACAAATATGTCGACATCGTCCTTAGTATATTTAGGCACGTTCTAAGGATTTTTAAAACCTTCCAGCGCTTATTAAGGTTTTTATATTTTAACTAGCCGTTTAGAAATTTATCTAATAGTGCTGTAAAAAGTAAATAAATGGAATTTGTTTCACACAAAAAAAAAAAAAAACAACTTAGGTTTTAGCCAGATCAATAAATGAAAACCGAAGCCATGTTTTTAATGCTTAATAACATATGCTAGATAGATCAGTTATCTCAGCGGTTCGGTTCACAGTTGCATAATATAGTCATTCTATTTGTACGTACATATGTATTTATTGTACCTACATACATGACGATTGCTTAAAAAACTGATACAAAAGCTCTTAAGGCTTGGGCTACACGTTGATCACCAATCAGTTAGTCAGTCAGACAGGCTGATTTTGTTGTTGGTAGAAGAGGGTTCAGGATATACCCTAGGGGAACTCCCGATATTGTTTAATTTTGTAGCACACTTGTTGCACGCCGCTGTTTTGTCTAGTAGAATAACGCATAATATCATAAATTATGAAAATGTTCCATAAGAAGTATTGTATCACTTTTAAAGCAGCGAGGATTCGTTCAGTAGCCGATTACAAAAACCTCTTTTCATGTGACTTTAAAATCATAAAATATGAATATTAATCAAGAAGCTACGCTACTTTACCTTGCTTTGCATACGAAGAACAGGGCCACTCTAACTTCTTTGCTCTTTCGCTGTTCTTCGGCGTCGCTCCATAATAAAGGACACATTTTTCACCAGTTTCGACGTAAATCTTGCCAAATTTAATGTTGTATTGCGTGCACTATTACTATGACGCCGTTTGTTCAAATTCGTCGCCAACTTTAATTTAACTCTTAAGTTAAATTACAAAATCATCCATTTTTATTAATTTGAAGGCAGCCGGAAGCATTTCTGAACCCTTAAAGCATATGCTTGGTGAGCATCAATAGTCGACATGGGCCCGCGTGTCCGTCGGTTCAAAAGCGTCGATCTAGGGATCTATAAAGAATAGCGGCTTGAAATACGCATTGCCCCATTTTGACGTTATCGTTAAAAATCGATATCGACATTCTGTTTTTTGTTTCTCTTAAGTTTTAAGAGCTAGACAAACCAAACTTCACATGTAGCTTTTAAAATAATATAAACTTAATTTTTTTTTTTTATTTTGATTAAAATTCTTTTATTTACAACTGATATGCTTTGTATCAGCGTGAGGGATAGTTTATGCAGATTAAGTATATTTAATTATTTAGCTATTTTGTATTTTTATTAATACTAAGGCAGAGGAGCGTGTAGTTCAAGCGTCTCAATTATCTGCAGGACCATATGCTGAATGTCTTCGAGGACATTCAATCTTGTTAGCTTGATCAATAACTGGACACTGTTTAGAGAGCACATACCCTGTCAGAATCATAGTATTTCATATGGGGCTTAAAAGCGTTTAAAGCACTCTCATTTTCTATTTTTAATTTTATAATTCGTATTTTAACTTTTAGTACCTGCCGACGATATATGGCGCGGTGTAACAGCAGTAAGCAATGCTGGTAAAAAAAGAGGCCGCGGAAAGGGCACAGGAAGAAAAGTTGCAAAGGATCTCAATAAAGGGCAAACAATTGGACTTGGAAAGAAAAGTTGCATTTGGCCAGGCCTAAACGCACCAATTCTACGTGGAAATGAACTTATTTATCAACAGAAACAGTCTGAAAACGAAGATAGAGAAAAAAATATAATTCAGTTGCGTGACTCAATGGGTAATTTTAAGCTATCGAAATTGAATCCAATAGATCGCGGATGGTCTGGAACGAAAATGCCAGGACGAAGTATTGGTCCTCCAGATTCTGTGGGGGAAGATTCATTTAAACTATTCGATACGCGTGTATTAGAGAATAAGATTGTATTTATAATGAAAGGCAATATGGGAAGGAAGAGACGATATTCTGTTCTATCCGTCACTGGAAACAAAAATGGTTTGGCAGGATTTGCTATAGCTAAAGCCCCTGAAGTTCGAACCGCTCTCCGAAAATCGAAAAATCGTGCAGGACAAAAACTTATTAGTATTAATCTTTATGAAAATAGAACTATCAATCACGATTTTTATACTGCGTTTGGAAAAACAAAAATTTTCGTTTTTAAAAAACCCGAGGGTTACGGCTTAGTATGTCATAGGGCTATACAAACAATTTGCAAGGTTTTGGGAATACAGGATTTATATGCAAAAATTGAAGGTTCAACAAACCTTCAACATATAGTAAAAGCATTTTTCATCGGGCTTATGCGTCAAAAATCGTATGATGCTATAGCTAAAGAAACAAATTTGCATATTGTTGAACGTCAAGTAGCAAAAAACGGATTCCCGCAAATTAAAGCAAGTCCCCTTTTAAATGTAAACACTTCAGAAAAGGATCGAATTATAGACTTTATGCAGTTTACTTTGGGGAATAAAATAGTGTTGAAAAAAAAAAAAATACCGCCCTATTTTGTAAATTCTAAGGGTCATAACATATTTGAAAGCAAAAACGAAAGGTTTAGAAACCAACAAAATGTAAGATTACACAAATTGGTTAATTCTTATATATAAGACAATAAAATTCTGAGCAATATATTGCCTTTATCATTTTTTAAAAATGCAAATTTTTAAGCGGATTCAATTAATATAAATACAAATTCAATTATTTGTGAATAGTCCCTGTATACTTTCAGGTGACGAGCGATGCATTTAGTTCCTTATGCCAAGCAACAGCTTCCCGTCGATCGTTGATCGTGGCTACTGGGTTCAGGTGACCCGGTTGCGTTCTACATTGTGCGGCTGTTTCAGAAACCAGCTGTTGGGCGTAAGTGGATAAAAAGAACAGAAGGTCGTAACCACGGCATTGTCTCATTCATGTGTGGCGAAGATGCCCGTGGCACATTCGGCGACTATTGTATCCTCGCTAAAGTCCAAAATGTGTTTACTACGCTGTAAAGAGTAATGCTTAATCTTTCTGAAAACAGTTTTGGGTTTAGGGTATTCAGCTCAAAAGTTGAAAATGTTATTTTGGAATGCGTTAATATTAGCTACTTCGAAGATATCTACTACAGTAACGCTGATGTTCTGATCTTTACTCACTTCTTCTACATTGACGTCGTCCTGATTATATTTATTTTTGATAAGCTGATTGAAATGATTGGTCCAACTATAGTATTTGATCATGGCATTGAGGCATCCAATGATTTCATTAGGTTTAGTAAAGATTTTCGTGTTTATTTCTACTTGTCTGATCTCGGAGTCTTAAAACTGGCCCTGCTTGAATCTAATCTGTGCCCAATCGTCGAAGTCTGGGGTTCTACCCACTCGACAGTTTTTTGATTGATATATATATATACATATATATATATATATCGGGAATAGTGGATGTCCTGAACTATTTTCTACGAACCCCAAATACAGCTCGCACTACAAGCGAAGTTTGCTTCAGCAGAATCAAAAAAATATATATATATTTACATATAATATATTTAATAAAATAATAATAAAATTGGTCTGTCTGCCCGACGCCATCAACCATTTGTAAGAAAATGAACCTGTGCTTATAGTCCGATTAAAAAATATATAAAATCTTTCTCTTCAATTTTAAATAATGTATAAACACAAAAGCACAATTAATCGCAAAATAAAATTTTAAATTAAAAATTTTTTAAAAATTTTATTTGAAAGAGCACAATGATTGATATTTTTCGGGTCATTATCGGGAAAAAAATATGGGTTGAAATATGTTTTATGTTTTGTATAAGGGGAATGTCACAAAAAATAATGCCAGCTAGTTTTTTTTTTTTTTTGGAATAGCATAGGATTTTATGTGCGAAAGTACGTAGATGTAAGTTTCTTAAAAATATTTTTTTTTCATTTAAAGATCAAAGTTATTTATATGTTTAAAAATTGCCTATTTATTGAGGTCTAGCAAATGCTAGCATGTATTTGGGGCCGGTAATTACCGGTAATAAGTAAGAATGGTGATAGCCTAATTTTAGAACACCTTTTTTTGTCATATAAGCTGGCATTAAAAAAAATGAATTTAGACAGTAAGTAATTAAAATTCTATATTAAAGTTTTATAGGTTTTTTGTTTAAAAACATAAAAAAATCTGTTTAAAAGTAAGTGATTTCAGCTCTGAAACCCAGTTCTAAAAATCGACGCTGTTATGTCGCTAACTTGTCACATATGTAAAATGTATCGTTCATGAAAGACTGAACAGAATCAGTGAACAAGATGCTCTGAATTTAGTTCATTTTATTGACCCGTTCATTTGTACTTGTTCTGATGTAAACGACACAACTCTAGAAAAAACTATTTCGAGTGGAAGAAGGCGGAAAAAAGCCTGATATATTCTGCAATGTTCATTTAAATTTGTTTTGTATACATTTGATAGCGTAGAGCCAGCTAAGTCTTTTAAAGTTGGGCTGTTACCTAGCGGCACATATGTTTGAACTCCTTGGAGTCATGCCACACAGGAAAATTAACTTATTAATTGTACAATCTACTAGTGTTTAAATATGTTAAATTTGATAAGTTTTCATGTAGATTTAAGTTAAATAAGAATATGTAACACCATTTCTGTAGGAGTGCAAAAAGCGGGATAAATCAAACTTTTTGTAAAAATGCCGGGATTTGACGGTAAAAAAGCTATTTCGGCAACACTGGTGAGTATCGAACTTATTCAGAGGAATTCGATTCAACTTCTAAACGAGTCTTTATAATTACTTGTCTTGGAATTTATAAGCTGTATTCCACTTATATAGTTATATAGTGTTATCAAATAATTTAATATCTATTATTGTATGCTAAATTAAGTAATTACATACATATGTACATACATTGTATGTATGAATGTAAATACTAAATAAATACTCATACAAAAAAAATATATGAAAATGTATGTATGTATATTGCAAAAATGTATTTCTGTGCATATAGACTTGTTTACATACATTTTCAAATTTATTTTATTAAAAAAATCGTTTATGTACATATATGTATTTATGAATGCATATATTATATATAAATGTATGTTAAAACTAATAAAAATAGGTGCTTGATGGTTACGTGTAGGGAAACTTCCATTTTGTACATAATTGATTATAGGCACATTTTTACGCAATTTTAATTACCCTGTAGTTTGGGTCCACCGTTGCACCGTTAACGATATTGCTCCCTGTTTAGGATGGGTACTGGCCTCAAGCAATTGAAACATCAATTATCAGACTAACGAATTTAACACGAGGATGTCATTGCCGCGTACTGAGCGGTACGAGGTTGACCTAGCGAAATACATAATGCAAGAGGGTAGTCGATTTCGCCAGTACAGTTAACGATTTATCTGATCCAAAGGTTTACATATTTCGCCAGCACATTTTACATAGCGCTGATGCTGATGCAAAGGTGCAAATGATAAACCTGATACAAAAAAGAAAAAAATAACTGCTTTGTTATTATTAACGGTAATGCTGCTGCAAAAGTGATAGCGCTAAAGCTGGTGCAAAGCTGGTTTGCTCTTTCGCTAGTAAAAATAAGATGGAATTAACTCACAAGCTAAAAACCTTATAATTAAAAACGTTTATAACTAAATGATTTAAAATCTATATTACATTACCTTACATATATTTTAATCTTTTTTTTTTTTTTTTTTTTTTTTTTTTGAAGCTGAACTGAACTGCAACAAAAAAGTAAAATATACGTTTTTAAATAACATTTAAATGATTATACTAATCGATTATGATAACTGTCATAATGGAAAGCTCCTCTTTCAGCGTTTATAGAAATGGTTAATTAAAAATTAATATTAATATACGAAATATTTATAATTTAGTTGAAAAGTTACCTTTCATATCGGCCGCCTACTTCTCTTTGTCGCTGCATGCCTGGCATTCACCCTGGCCGCTATTGAAACTATTTTATTTATTTTTCGATGCTAGTCCGTTCGTTTTATTGAAATTTGAATCATAAATAATTAATTTTATCTTATAATCAAATTATTTTTATATTTACGTTTAATTTTTATTTTTTATTTATTATATGTTATATTTGTAAGTCAAGGTGACGATAGAAACGGAAACTGTTAATAATTTCTTGTAAAAATGGAGCGTTGCCAATTTAACTAATGTATTCTTAAAGGAAAATGCTACAGCTTTACTCTCTAAGTCACAGAGTGAAATACCTTCTTGGTTCCTGATACAAGCTTTGTCTTTTTTTAAACTTTCTGCCCATTATCACTAACCATACAATGCATTGTATGGTAAGTGCAAATGTCAAAAGTTGATTACTCTGAAGTAATTGTGTGCGGGTTCATGCTTTGAAGTGGTGCCAAAAAATATTACCCTTGGACTCTCAGAATGAGGACTCTCTCCTAGTAGCAAATGTGACATTTGCACATTTCTTACTATTGATGGTGATGTTCCATTCTAAGGCCCATGTTTGAAAGCTTCCCTTGTATTCTTGTAACGCCTCTGTGGCAGTGCCTATTAGAGGACTCCTAATCAGCAAAGCAGTGTCATCTGCATATGCTATGATGGCATCATCCCTGTCCACTGCTGAAACCGAGCTGGATGCTGGCATGTCAGCTGTGCAAATTGTGTGGAGAGGGACCGAGACGCTGCCTTGTGGGAGTCTTTCTTTCTTTCACCATTGACGATCACACAAGCTGTTTTATCCTTCAAAAAGCTACTCACTAAATGGAACAATTGTGGCGTTAAGAAGACTAATCGGTTTAGTTGCTCTGGGGTTCCGTTACGTTTTCGAAAGCCAAACTTTCCCTTTGCAAGATCCGGTTGAAAAAAACCCTTTCCAACATCTTCGGCAGAAAGGAGACTGATTGGTCTGTACGCGTCTACGTCTGTGAGCTGCTTCTCTGGCTTAGGGATCATCGTGATCAGTGCGGACTTCCAGATCTTTGGAAAGTGTCCTAATTGTAGAATGCTGTTGAACAAATGAACTATGAAGGGCAGCGCTCTACTAGAAAGAAGTTTTATAGTCCTATTGTCCAACTGGTCCTCCTCTGAGGCTTTTTTAACCTTTACATTTTTGATTTGCGACATGGCCTCAGGCTGGGTTACAGGGCAGAGACATTTGGAAGCTCATCAGAGTCAGAGTTTTTACTATCAGCTCAAAAAAAAAAGTGCCCGGTGGGTCACCGCAAATATTGATTCGTTACTAATACATAGTAGTCAAATGTGATGAGATTCCCCAGACTATTTTGGTTTTGATGCCTCCGTCATTGCCATGTATTTGGCAATGTGCCATGAGGCCTGACTGTAAACCCTGAGCGTACTTGCCCTTCGCTGCTTACCTGCAGAAGATTGTAGTTGCCTTTGTTGTGCACCTTGTTAGAGTAGTTGTCAGGCTTGCAATATGTCTTAAGTAGTTATGTCCATCCTATATCAGTACGTCCCGTCTATAAAAAACACATAGTCTGGGTAATAATAGTGCGTAATGCGTGCTGTCAGAAAGCCAGAAAGACAAAGGTAATATGAACATATTAAAAGGTAAATATAATTTAATAAATTTTACGTGCGGTCTTTAAAAGCCCTAAATGATAAGGTCGGTTGTCTGTTTAATCTCCTTCTGGAGGTTAATGCACCTCGCTATCTCCAGGAAAGTGATATAAATCCGACCGACGTACTACGGAGATAAGGCGCATTGCAATGTTGATTTCGCCTGTTATGATTTCCAAGCTCTTATAACTATCGCAAACGTCGGCTACCATGTTCTGGAAATGCCAAATCCGATGGTGGGAAAGCTCTATGTCAGTTTATAGAGGAAGCGGGCGAAAATGGGGAAGCCGAAGTGGGTTGCGTTCACAATATTTGGGCTTACCACCGATTTCCTTTCCTCGATAAGGATTTCGTTGTTGGTTGGCGAGTTTTTCATACAGCATCATACTCTTGGACCGATCGTTCGTATGACAGCAAATGATGTAGTGGTTCGAACCAACCGGTTCCAACGTATGTACTGGGACAATTGGAGGAGTGTGGAGGTTAGCATTTTTTGACCTCTTAGCAACATTTTCTTATTGAAAAAAATGCGGCGAACTTAGGTGCTTAATAAAGAATAGGTTTCGGGCCGGTTCACAAGTCGAAAATTAAGACAAAACGTTGATTTGAACGGGGAACCGAACCACCGACAGCAATTTTTTGGTTAATGGACTGATTGATGATAAAAGCGCAGATTTTTTCGGATTTCATCCCATAAGTGGTGTGGCAGTCTCGCCGACTTGATAAAATATACTTAATCGATACATTATAGTTATGACTTGAGCGGGTACGAACTGTTTTCCGAAGCGACCCTCGAGATATTATAGCATATGTACAGGCCACCGTAGTAAGAGCTGTGGTAGCGTCGCAGAAACCGTAAATTTCTTACTCTGCTGCAGTTATTGACTGTACTTTCTTTAAACTGTAAAGATCGTGCCAAGCTGTTGCTAACTATAATGGCCGAAATGGCCGATGGCCGATGGTTACCGGCCCTATAAGCGGGTCATACAAACGAGCTACCGTCGAGAGTTATATTTTTAGATGGTTTGGATCTCTTTTGAAAAGAGGATACAGATAATAGCGACAAAACTAAATCACAATCGAGTCCGAATGTTTTGGGGCTGCCGCTCCCATCATCGAACTTTAATGAAGAAACTCTGTCCTCTTTTGATATTCCTTCCAGTATTCCTTCCAGCAGCATGTTCGTTCCGTTCCTTAAAATTACATTTACTGGAAAGCTCAATATAAATAGAACAGGAAGACATTAGATCGCAAAGAAAAATGAATAGTCAATTCTTTACATGTTTGTTTAAATAAAACTTGTGATGTCCATTTAGATAGCTTTTTCCCGGGCCCACTGCTTTGGTATTGAATTATTTATCCACTTGCAAATTTGCATTAAGACATCTCCTTTTTTGTATACCCTAAACCCATTAAAAATGGGGAAAGAAGGTTTAATGTATTTCTGCATATAACAGGCAAAAGGATACATTTCCGACCTCATAAAGTATATATATTCTTGATAAGCATCAATAGCGAAGTCGATCTGGCCATGTCCGTCCGTCCGTCCGTCTGTCCGTATGTATGACTGCCATGTTATCAGGACCTATAAAGGCTAGATCTTGAAAGCTGTAGGTCGTTCTGGTGCCTGCGCAGATTCAGTTTGTTTTCGATAATTGATAACTTCCGTTTCCAAGCAATTGATAAAAATCGATATCGACAACCTGTTTTTTGAGCAAATTTTATACCTATCGGCAACTCCCCGCTATCATCGCAGAGCTATAAATCAAGTTAATAACATAACTTATATTGCCCAACATTTTAAGCCACAATTTAAATGTAATTGACTCTTTGAGAATACTCAAATTTTCTATGGTACAATAAGCAATACTGTAGAAAACTTCATACACAGAAAAATACAAAACCGACACACAGATACTGTAGTCACTAGCATTTTTGCAATACTTTTATCATTGAACATTTTCGAGTTCAAAGATCACAGTCTTGCTGGTAGCTGACAACGGTGCCGCTGTAAATCTAACTGATAACATCGTAACTGAGTGCAGAGTGCAGAGTGCAGATTGGGAACCGTCAAATTACACAATAGCAGTGACTCCAACCTTAAGTAGGCAGACGGCATTCGATTTAAGTTAGTGAGTTAGAATAAGCAGTTTAATATAAATTTGTAGATAAAAACTGTTTAGGATTCTCAGTAAATGTAAATGTGTCAAATTTTAAGATGTTTTATAAACGAAAAATTATTTATCCTATTCTGTAACAAAGTGAGATACAAACTTATCAAAATAAAATTTTGTATTAAATCTATATCTCTTTTTGTTGTTTCAGATATTTATTATGATTCGCTTTCCTGAGGAAGGGTTTGCTGAAGATAATAAAGCATCTCCCCAAACAGATAAGCAGCATCAAAAAGAAATATTAAGCAAATCGCATTACCATACGCTAATATCCCCGGAAGTTTGTTCAGAAACCTTCAAGAATAATTACTCACAAAAAGATCGTTTTCCTAATAACATGTCATACGCAACCCATATTGTAAAGTCGAGTTCACCAGCTTCAAGCTTGGGAGAGTCAGTATTTACCTCTGAGTTTGGTAATCAAATACTAGCATCTCAAGGTCAACAAATACAGACAATGACCCCCAGTGGTGATATTAACTTTTACAGTTTTCCTGATTTTATTGCTGACCATGAAAAGACTATTTTGTCAGATGCTGAAAAGCTTCTAATATCAAAAGAGAATGATATTTACAGTAATGAATATAATCAAATACATGATGTTTTTGCCATTCGCAAATATTACCATCCTTTATTCGCTCATGGAATATGCCGCTGGCCAGGTTGTGAAGTGGATTTGGAAGATATTTCCTCGTTTGTAAAGTAAGTATTTGAATATAATTATTAGCGACTTTATTTTTTGTCATGTTAGTCAAAAAAAAAAAAACCTTATATTGGTAGACTAAAGATATGTTTTATTTAGTACTCTGTTCACAAGGAATAGGACTAAAATTGTATTGCCCCTTATTAACTATGCCCATGTGTGGTATGTATGTAACGATAATGGGTTATTGATAATATAGATGAAATAAGATGACAGCATATTACAGATGTAACGGAATCATTACAAATTAATTCCACACTGGTTTTCATTGGCTTGCTTCTCTCGATCTATGTCATATTCGAAAAAGTTCTATTTAGTCAACGATCTTGCGCAAATTATTTTGTTTCGATTAGATTTAATTACTTATAGTAAGTAGGAAAGCCGATTGAATATTAATTATCGGGCCGCTTGCCTGGTTGCTATTCAGATTAAGGCAAAAATTAATATGGAGTTATTGACTCTGCGGTAATCTTACGGGGAGATACGGTAACTTTTCTGTAGTGAAGTGATGGCCTTATCAAAAGTATGACCTATGTCCTTCTGCGTCCTTTGTGGAGTAAATGATTTTCTTCCTACTAGACGTGACTTCGACTCTTCTTTTATTTGCCAGATTAGTTTTTGATGTTGGATGTTTTTTTTTTTAAGTTGGACTTGTAGATTGATCTCTTCTATCGTAGTATTCATCGTGATTCTTTCGATTTGGGGAATGCTGAGTTCTTGTCTATCCTCCGTTGTAATCATCGGGTGATCATAGCGATGGGGATTTGACGGTGCAATTCTTCGCAATCTGATGCGCTTAATACAAATATGACGCCTTTTTCCGTCTCAAAGACTTGTTGGTGACTCCCTAACTTATGCTATGCTATTCTTATTATATATTATGTGAGGCAGCCACTAAGGAAACCCCTCAGTTCATAATTGTAGTAATTGTATTAGTAATAAGAACAGTTAGGGCAAGGTGCCGATGTATTGAAGCTATTTAGGAGTGAAATTTTTAGCTGTTGGTCCTCCTCGTCTATGCGCAGTATGAGTTTGTTTCCGATAATCGATATCTTACTCCGTTTCCAAGTAATCAATAAGAATCGATATTGCCTTCCTTTTTTTTGAGAAAATTTTATACCTATCGCCACCTCCCCGATATAATTGATGTTTTGTGAATACATAAATATTCCATGGTACAATACAATATACAGTAGAAATTTTCATCAAGATCGCTTAAAACACAACACTCGTGTAAGCAGCCCCTATCGCAAATTCCAAGAATTTCTGAATTCATGTAAACACATTTCTGTATTCATCAACAGCATTGCAATTGCGATTGTTTTCTGTGCTGCTATTTACTTGAGAGCTCCCGACTAGAACCATTTGTTTTAAATGCGATATTGTGTCGGTGCTTAAAACGATCTAGCCAACCACTGCTTGTCTTAAAATATGTTATGTTCATAGCCTTCACAAAAAAAAGCGTTTTCTGTTCATAACTTTGCCCCAATGGGAACATTACTTTGACGGCATTGTGTAAACCACAAGAGTAGAGACTTTTCTTTATTCGGATATTCAGCATGTTTCTGACGTTTCAGTTTACTTACAAGAGGATGTTTGCAGAATAAACTCATTTTCGAGTAAAATTAATGTTGTTATTTATGGAGCGGTATTAAATTGTTGTGGCACCAGCTGCCGGCAGTGATTCACCGACAAAAAATTCGCATTTCATTACGAATTATAAGAGGTTACGAAACCAAATTTAAATTTATAAGCGGTTCAATATTTTATGCGCTGCGAAAAATACTACGAATCACCGAGGGGACAAAAATGTATGAAATATTTACAAATGTTCAAATATTTACGAATTATTGAGGTGTTCAATTTAGCGGGGAACGAATTATCGGGATTCGACTCTATATAGTTGTTTAGCTTTGGTAAGCTATTTAGTTTTTATTTATTTATTTTTTAATTTTGGCGGTTTGGCGTACTCTAGCTCCTGGATTTTATTGATTGATCTAAATACTCCAAAATAGAACGCAGTGTCAGCTTTATGAACTGCAGGGCTTGTGAAATAATATTCATTTCAATGAGCCGACCGAAACCCAAACATCATTTGTATTTTTCTTAACGATTGTCTCATTAACAGGCATCTAAATTTGGAACATGCGTTAGATGACCGATCGACAGCCCAGGCTCGAGTACAAATGCAAGTTGTTTCACAACTGGAATCTCACCTGCAAAAGGAAAGAGATCGCTTGCAAGCTATGATGCATCATTTATACTTATCAAAACAACTATTATCGCCATCGAAAATGGATCGAAAGGTATATATATTATTATTTCAAGTATTAATAAAAATACGTGCCAAATATATTTTTTTTACAAAATAAATCGGATGCTCAGAAAAACATTGCACAAAACCAATATAATATTTTCAATTTTTAAAATATTAATATTAATTTCCCGTTGACCTTGTGCCAGCTACTTTAATATAAATGTTTCACCCTTGACCTCTTAGATTGCTAAAAAAGATTACCACAATATACGAATGATATTTTTTACTACAGAAAATTTGTTTAGCGATTCGAAACCAAAATTTTATTGAAGTATACTCTGCGTAACTCAAAAAGCGCAGCCGCTGCGTAATTTGTTATACTCGTTTATAAAGTGATCGCTACCATTTCATAACAAAATTCCTTTTTATACCCTGAACCCATTGAAAATGATTATAAGGCGGCGGGATGTTCACGCCGCAAAGTACGCTAGAAGTTCGCCACCTCCAATTTTTCTCGCTGCTTCCAAGCAATCAATATATAGCTTAAGAAAAGTAGCCCATCCGCTATACTTTATAATTTTTGATTTGACATTCGAAATAAATCAGTGGGGCATATCAAACGCATTTTTTACAGAAGGATTGTTATAGTTAAACATCACATAATTTTATCGCAATTGTGGTAAAGAATGTTTATTGCATTTTATATATATTTAACCTTTTTTATGCTAACTAAATAAATGTATCATTTTATTTGTAGGATGTTTCTGGAAATGACAAGAGTTTATGCAGTGGAACATCTCCACATGTAATAAATAATGTAGTTCGATCTCTATATCGACCGCAATCTCCCAGCTCGATTAACCATCCTATTGTTAACTCTAGTAGTTTATCGGCTGTAAAAAAAAGAAGTCATGAAAAAAATACGTTTTCTGTTACTGGTGGTAAGTCTTAGCACAATACTTTTATCAATATATTATATCAATAAGTGAGCGCATCGGACATGTGCCATGCGCTCCTTAAAGTTGTGCGTGTGATTGGCCATGATACCCAAGTATTTAAAAGCCACCACGCAGCATCTCCTTTGCCCCCGCACTAATAACAATATCATCAAAATATTAACACATTTAAAATGCTCTGACAAGTAAACTTGCTTTTATGCACAAAAAGGGAATACACCTAAATTTGTGATATGAACATATTTCACAAACATAAAATTTGACTAAAAAATGCTAAATGCTGTAAAAACAGACCGTGTAATAACAGAATAAGATGTAATTGTTTTGTGAAAATGTATGTAATAGACAAATGCAAGTATCACCGAATTAATAAAATATATACACACATTCTAAGTCAGAATCAAAACACAAGATGATCGACCCCTGTCAGACTGTTCATTTGCATTTAAAAACACGTTGGTCTAATAATTTTTAAGAGTTAGGACTTCATTTATGAGCATATGACCACGTAGTGTGAATGTCTATCGAGCTTATCTCAAATCATTAATACCTTCCCCGTTTCCAAGCAATCGATAAAAATCGATTTCGGAATCGTGTTTTTGAGCAAGTCTCAAACATTCTTGAGCGTGTGCTTTTACCGAATTTCTTAAATAATATCGCAATTGCAATTTTAATGTATGCTGTTCTATTTATTTTCTAGATAAAATGTGTATTTTTTGGTTAAATCTTGAATGAAAGTAGTAGTAAAGATTCTGTGTATGCCTTATTCGGGCATTCCCGACTAGAGCAGTATATTTTATGTTACTCAAAATGAAAAAGTGTTTATCGTTCTATTTATTTAGGCTTGCCTTACATGCTAGAAAGGGCAGGACTGGATGTACAACATGGTAAGTGGGTATTGATAAAATATTTTATCTCAATTTCATATGTGTGTTTGATTGTTACCGACAAAAGTATTTTTTTTTTCTTTTTGTTATTAATTAAAAATGTGTACAAAATCATTTTGTAATATTATTTAATTAATCGGATAGCGAATATATCTACGATAAAGATTCTGGTATATTCGCTAAAAGTTTTTAATTTATCAGTATTACTTTAAACGAGCCCGTAGCGCGATCTTCATATAGTGTTGGAACAAGAGGGTTCAGGATAACCCCTAGTCGGGAGCTCCCGACTTGAACCTCTTACTTGTTAGAGCTAGGGTCACCAATCTTAATATGAAGCCTCTAGAATATTATATGAGTGAACTATCTTTCATTTTATAGCTATCGCCACCTCAACTTAGCTATAAATCAAGATAATAAACCAGCTTGTATTGCCACTAATTAAAGACACAATTTAAATGCAACTGACTCATTGCGAATATCCAAATATATTATAGCACATTAAGATATACTGTTGAAAATTTCAACACAAGTTTGGGGAAAATAGCGCAAATTGTAATTTTATACATGTACACACACGCTTTCATGCGCGGGTTCATTGGATTTAATTAACAGTATTGCAATTTTTCTAATTAAGTCAGAATTATTGGTGTGGCTGCTGAGTTGAGGCGGTCGCAAATAGTGTGGGTTGTTGCACGGTCGAGCCCTAGCGCGTTATCAACTTTGTATTTTACAATTTTCTTTTTGGCAGAACGTATAGGAGCTAGCTCTATTTGTCGAATTATTTCTACAACATTTATATATATATATAGTTTTGTAATTTTTAAATTTAACTGATTACCACGTTTTTCTCATTTATAGAAATACAACGCAATAGAGAGTTCTATAAAAACGCCGACGTTCGTCCACCATTTACATATGCTTCCCTTATTAGACAAGTAAGTAAATACAGGAGTATTTATAAGTTTTCGCAGCTCTCGCACGTCTCAGCTGTGTCAAACAAAATTTAAATTTCCAAGGACAAAACCGTTAGGTAAAATTGTACAAACGTCGCACCAGTGAGATGTTTAGTATATGAGAAGTGTTTTTTATTGGCACATTTAGTGCTCAGCCCAGCCATAAAATTACCAGTGGGCTGGTGGGACTACGCAAACAAAACTAAATGGACACATAACCCGAACGGCAACGGGCGAGGACAAAGTCAATCCCTCCCCGAGCAACAGGCAGAGTTAGAAATAGCCTTATATTTGACCCTCCGAAAATTACAAGTTTTAAGATAATTAAATTTAGTTTTCGTGTTATTTATTTGTACATACGCATGAACATATATGGTTATGTCTAGTTCCTTTTAAGAAAAGTCTTCAAAATTTGAGAACATTGGGGAAAAGATCCAAAATTTATTTGTTTTCTGCTTAGTTAATATAAAATATTAATATTTTGTTACCTGCAAAATAAAATTCTAACATCAATTTGTAATAATTTTGGCACAACGAAAAAGTACACCCTTAATATTTAAGCCATATATATATTTATTTATTTTATTAAAGGCTATCATCGACTCACCTGACAAGCAGTTGACACTAAACGAAATATATAATTGGTTCCAAAACACATTTTGTTACTTCAGGAGAAATGCAGCAACTTGGAAGGTAATTACTGCATCGTAAATGTACAAATATATTTATATTTATGTATAAATAATATCAATAAGTATAATATTTTTATTTTTAATTTAATATTTGTTATACACTATAGCCGCCAACGAATTTCCAAATATTTAAACTTCAGTAAGATAACTTCAAACATCTTTGCAATTCGATATTAGTTAACCAGACAATCGTAGTTTAACAGACAGATTGATGGTGACATGTTGGCAATCAAAATTCACACAATGTCATAAATAACTAAATGCAGTAATAAGAATGGGCTTTCGGTCGACTTAAATAAAATACAAATAGGCAGCTGATCATGTGATCCCTATAAAACAGTTTTTTGCTTATGTAAGACTAGGTAAATGAAAACTTGGCAAAGTCTACCCGATGCTAACTCGAGCCACTAACAAAAACAACAAATGTTGTGTCTTTAGTGCTCGAGCATACATAGCTGGTAAGACAAAGTTTTATTGGTAAAAATAAATACCCCATGTCGCCTTTAAAAGAACCCTCGGAGTAGCCCATTGCTGGTAGTGGTAAGGTGATTATCGTAAAGTCACTGATGAGTTGTCAATGATTTTCACAACTGTTATTTTGCGTTTATAATTCAAAATTTGTAGGCAGCAACAAGGATACTACGTCAAAGGATACTAATGCTTCGTCTTCCCTTATGTGGAAATTGTTAACCTGTCCTTAAATCCTACTGTACGTTTGATGCTCTACCTAAATTCCATTATTAGATTTTTATACCCTTAACCCATTGAAAATGGGTAAAGAGAGTATCATGTATTTGTGCAAATGTATGTAACAGGCAAATGTATGTTCTTAATCAGCATCAAAAACCGAATCGATCTAACCATCTCCGTCTGTCTGTCTGTCCGTCCGTCTGTCCGTTCGTCCGATCAGAACCTGTAAGAGCTAGTAGCTTAAATTTTAGGTATAAGTCCGATCGATATCGACATCCTGTTTTCTGAAAAAATTGGGTAAATATTAGAGCTAGAGTCCCCAAACTTGGTATGTTGCTTCTAGAATATTATATATACATATATATCAAGTATCTTTCATTTTATACCTATCGCCACCTCCCCGCTACCAAATTATCAAGTTAATAACCAAACGCTTATGGCCCACCAATTTAAGCCACAATTTTAATGCCATTGACTTTTTGAGAATACACAAATAATTAACGGTACAATACTGTATGGTACAGTATTGAAGAAACATTTATTATTATCGGCTAAGAAAAAACCAATGTTATGTTTTACTGCGCAATTGGATACATGTGGATACATGATACATGTACCCACACTAAGTATATTAATGCGCGTCTGCTTCGATTCTATCAACGGCACTCCAATTGCGATTGTTTTCTGTGCTGCTATTTCAATCGTTTTCCTACCAATAATACTTAATTATTGGTGTGGCGAGTTCGAGTCCTACCAGGGAATTTTTTTTTTTTTATTTTTGGCTGGTATGGCTGTTGAGTAAAGTCGTCAGCAAGTAATATGGTCAGTAATGAGGTCAGTTGCGAGTTCGAACCCTGCAAACTGCACTCGGTGCTGGAATAACAGGGTTCCGGGTATTCCCTAGTCTCCCGACTAGAACCTTTTACTTGTTTAATATTATTATGAATTTGCATAGCCCATAAGATGGAAAAACGATAGAGGAACACATTTGCAGTTCATATATTATCGGAGGTACCGCTGTTGTTGTAGTTGTCTTCTTTCTAGCGTCCTTTGAAATAAGATCCATTCTGAATGTTTGGGCAAGGAAGTAATTATTCTCTGTCTGTAGTTTCGTTGTCGGATCCTGGGTTAGTGTTTTATAAGCGCATAAGTCGTCTAAAATATTTGTCATTTTATTTTTATAAACGTCCACATCCACTGCTACGGTTTTGTTACCCTTATCTGTCGTCGGATAAGGACGACAGACCAGACAGAAGCATTCGTCATCAATGATGTCGGCCATCAAGAGGTCAGCAAAGAGGAACAACGACACATCTTTATTTTCAAAACCGTGAATGCCAAAGTCACATACGTTTTCATGCCAGAGACCCTTCACGATCAAAGGGTCTGCCATATTAACATTCAACAACTGTACGGTCAAAATCAACGGCTTATCATACGTTGCCACTGTAATGGATTTCGAACAAAGGGCAGAACTGTCGGAACAAATGATCGGAAACAACACGTTCGAACATATAAATCTACACAAATTCCACCTACAATCCGTATCAAACCGAAACGACCTAATTGTCATGAAGACTACAGCGACAAACCACCTCTTCATACTCTATACACTTCTTACTATATTGGCCGTATCTGTAATATATGTCCTGACACTAAGGAGAAGTACCATCATCTTCGATGGAGCTTTCACCGATTTGCGTGCCGGCCATACCAACGAAGTGGCCGGGATGAATTATGGGGCTCTCTCACATTGAAAATTTTGTTGTTTGAATTATTTTGACATTTGAAGCATCTATATACAGGAAGCGTATAGCGCTGTTAAAAAAAAAATCTTTAATTATATTGATATTTTCAATTAAAACTATATATCATTCATAGCTTTAAGTGTCTATGACTGTGAGTTACCGTTTTATATGCTACTAAATAATTAATGAAACGTTTACTACGTACATACCTTTAGAATGCAGTACGCCACAATCTATCCCTGCATAAATGCTTTATGCGCGTTGAGAATGTAAAAGGGGCTGTCTGGACAGTAGACGAAATAGAATTCTACAAAAGACGACCACAACGTACAAGTGCCGCTGCTAGTAATTTAGTAGGTGTTAAAAATTCGATGGATAATAAGTTTTATATAGCGTTAAACTTTGGGTATGTGGGAAATTTCTTTAAATAATTTTTTCCACATAAATTTTTTCTCAATTTATTAATTGGAATATCATTAGCTTACCTAATTTTTTCCTATATATTGTACATTTAAAGAAATGAATTTGTTAAAGTTAAAAAAAAAAAGGAAAATCTGACCACATAGAGAATACAGGGTCAATTTACCTATGTCTGTCTGATTGTACGTCCGTCCGTGTATTGTTAGTGCCATATACAAACGTCATGTTTTGTTAGTCTATAGGTAATATTAAGTTTTCACACAACACGCTGTTTTTTTATGTTTTAATCACCGTACACAAAGAGTGCTGAAAATAAGTCGCATCTTGCATCTGCTTATTAAAGGGATATCGATGAGAAGTCTTATAAATGAGCAATTTTCGATTTGACTGAAGTATTAATTTACTTAAAATTTATGAAAATAATATAATTGGTATGGAACTATTTGTATAATACATAAATATATAAATAAAAAAAAAAAAAAATAAATTCAGCCATTTATGTTAGCGTTAAAGATAACTAGAGGTTTGTGCTTAAAATTATAAATAGAACTTATTCATTCCGTTCTTGTCGGTGGAAAATTTAAATTTGCCCATACCATCTTGAACTCCAAGTGTATTTAAAAAAAAAAAACAACAAAAACTTGTAAAAGTAAATTAAAACCCGCATTTTCTTAAAGAGTGGTGAATTTTACGTATAACATAACATAAATGAATTTTCAATAAGATCATTAAAAATAAATTTAAGTTTAAGTTACGGGTGGAATTTCCCAAATCGCTGAAACACGTATTCAGTTATCGGATCTAACCAAATTTAAAGATTAAAGAATATCTTAGCAAAAAGTGTAAAATATGGGCCAAATGAATTTACTTAAAAATCTTTGGGAATGATTTGCTAAAATAATTTTTCAAACATAACTAGAAATTAATTAGAGCACGAAACGTCATTCAGCAAATGAATGAATTGTTAGATATTTTTAAAACAGCCCCCAATGGAACTCGAACAAAGATCTTTGAAAATAAATTTGGGGCCGATCGAATGATGAATAAAAGTGTTTCATAAGTGTTTGGCTGTCCGATATTGAAAAAATGTTCCGCGTATAGCCAACTTATTAATGCTCAGGTATTACATACATTACACGAGAACCTTCTCACGGGAATGAAGGAAATGGAGATGGCGATTAGCTATAGTTTTAAATATTTGTGTCCACCGACCTTGGCTGCGAAGAAGTAATAGCTTCATTTGTTGATGGGTGGTTCATCAAGTGGTGTAAGTCCGTGTCAAACGGTAAATAGTCATTAAAAAAATCAGCGCCGAAATACCTGGCCGAACTAATGGCCACCACAGAAGACGTTTGAGTACAACGCTCCAAATCCAGGCAAGCAACCAAGTTAGCAAATACTTGTTATCAATCAAATAAGTAAGCTTTTGCGGCTAGACACTGAGATTGCGAATATTTCTTATGGGCGTACCAACTAAAAGTAAGATGATATCGGCACAGCTTATTTCGACGCATATGAACGTAAGCTGAATCTTTTGGTAAGCGACAGCAACAACTTAAACAATTTTTCCAAATCAAATTACTCTTGAGTCTGTCCTAATAATAATTCTTATACTTATACTATTACTTCTTCTAGTTCTATATCTGATCCTATTATTCCCCATTCCTCTCTCCTTTTAGCTATAAATTCTTTAAAATCTTCTTACTCTCCTGGACTTGACGATTTTTAGTTGTCTACTTAAGGAGTGTAGTTCATCCCTTGTTTATCCATTGCTAAAGCTTTTTATCCCTTGAATCTTTTGTCTTTCCATCTCTTTGGAAAGAATCTCATATCATTCCTATAAAAAAAAGGTGAAATGACAGGGGCATTGCAAGCTGTCCGCTATACCAAAATTTTTTAAAAACTGCAGCATTTCTGCAAATCAGTTTATTCCCCTGTTCAACACGGATTCGTAAATAATCAGTCAACTACGACCAATCTTCCAGAGACCACTTCCTTGGTAAATTATGCTTTCCTTTCGAAAAGGCAAACTGATATCATTTACACTGACTTCAGTAAGGCTTTTGACTCTGTGCACCATGATATTTTACTTCTTAAACTTGACCGAATAGGTTTTCCTACGTCTCTTTTGATTTGGATTAGTTCTTATTTAAAAGGCAAGACCCGAAGAATAATGCTGAGTCTGACTACCTCTAAACATGATCCCCAAGGTAGTCTTGCACCTTTACTCTTTACGCTTTTTATAAATGATCTCCCGCGGCTATATCACGTGCCCATGTACTTATGTATGCGGACGATGTGAAACTTATTCTATCATATACTAAACCCCTACATCATTCTCGTCTACAAGACGATCGTATTGAATCTGTACAGAAGCAATCTTAGGACCACAATCTTTGGTAGCCATCCTACTCCATCATCAGTTTGCATCACGTTTTCTCTACCGAACTTTCTCTACCCCCAATCAAATCGTTGCTCTCAGGGTATCTACGAAAATTCATTCACCATTCCTAGCTATGAGCAGGAGCATAGCTTGCAGGACAGGCTATACATTTTCCCCCACCTCTTTATCTTTCTCTTTATTCCATCTACTTAACACTATATATATAGCATACATTTCTTTACTTTATTAACAAATTCTTACTTTCTTTTTCCTATTTATTGTATTTTCTTAAATAAGATAGCAAATAAAAGTTATTCTAAATTTTACTCAACGCTTTTTATACCCTGAACCCATTGAAAATAGGTAAAGAGGGTAAAGAGGGCAAATGTATACAACAGGCAGAAGGAAGCATCTCCGACCCCATAAAATATATGTATATTCTTGATCGGCATCAATAGCCGTCCGTCCGTCTGTCTGTCCATCCGTCCGTCTGTCTGTCTGTCCGTCCGTCCGTCCTTTCGTCCATCCATCCATCCGTCCGTCCGTCCGTCCGTCCGTCCGTCCGTCCGTCCGTCCGTCCATCCGTCCATCCGTCCGCCCGTCCATCCGTCCGTCCATCCGTCCGTCCGTCCGTCCATCCGTCCGTCTGTCCATCCGTCCGTCCGTCCGTCTATCCGTCCGTCCGTATATCCGTCCGTCCGCCTATCCGTCCGTCCGCCTATCCGTGCGTCCGCCTATCCGTCCGTCCGTCCGTCCGTCCATCCATCCATCCGTCCGTCCATCCATCCATCCGTCCGTTCATTCGTCCATTCGTCCGTCCATCCGTCCGTCTATCCATCCGTCCGTCTATCCATCCGTCCGTCTATCCGTCCGTCCGTCCGTCCATCCGTCCGTCCGTCCGTCCATCCGTCCGTCCGTCCGTCCATCCGTCCATCTATCCATCCGTCCGTCCGTCCATCCATCCATCCATCCATTCATCCATCCGTCCGTCCGTCCATCCGTCCATCCATCCGTCCGTCCGTCCATCCATCCGTCCGTCCGTCCATCCGTCCATCCATAGGTCCTTCCGTCCGTCCGTCCGTCCATCCGTCCGTCCGTCCATCCGTCCGCCCGTCCATCCGTCCGACCGTCCGTCCATCCGTCCATCCATAGGTCCTTCCGTCCGTCCGTCCGTCCATCCGTCCATCCATCCGTCCGTCTATCCGTCCATCCGTCCGTCCGTCCATCCGTCCGTTGGTCCGTCCGCCCGTCTGTCCGTATGTATGAACGCATGGATATCAGAACCTTTAAGAGCTAGGGCTGAAATTTTAGGTGTAGGTCCTCCTAGTGCCTGCGCAGATCAAGTTTGTTGCCGATAATCGATAATGAACTCCTATTACTTGATATAGACTGCACTATCGTATAAAATTGCTGAATTTATTAGGGAAAACCATAGACAAAAAGTTATAAACACAAAAACTGAAGAACAGATCAATGTTTTGATCATTTCTGTAAACGAAACTTTATAATTTGATGACGGTGATTTAAAAGTAATACTGGATAACAATTTCACATTTGGCGTAATCCAATCGAATATATCGTAATCCACTTAATAAAATTTCCTAGGCCTAGGCTTTTTATGAACATTGCAACATTTACAGTCGCATACGCCGGCAAAATTTCACAAATACAAGAAAACATCGTGGCCGTGTGCGAATCTAAAATTGTCGCGGTCAACTCATGCAATGGATCGAATAACATCGTGTTCTATTGGGATGCTGGATGTGCAGCATACTGCAACTCTCAACGCGGGTACCATCGTTATTAAGGAAAGCCATTTTAATGTAAGCACTACGGACATAACCACCAAGTACCCAAACTTTCACGGTGCCCCTTAAATATTTCCCTGCCCAGTTAAGCCTGCTATTTCTATTCAAGTTAAGTGGAGAAAACCTATGTTACTTTGAGGCAAGTGGTGGAGTCGACTGTTTGACAGTGCTTTGTGGTAGCCGGTATTCTATATATCGGAAACAGTTAAACCATCTCTTTAAGACGTTAATGCTGTTGCACAGCTAAGCTGAAGTGCATCCTTATCATACACAATAATTGGTTGCAAGGTTGGCATCAATAAACATGGAAACAATAGATTGTACGATGACAAAAAGTCTACGCTATAAAGCGGTTGAATCACGTATGGGATTATACAAAATGTTAATTGTGGACCTTTTCCTTCATAGCCTATTGTCATTCATAACTTTTCCACTATATATGTAATCGGCGGATTTCTATTGCACTGAATGACTTCATATTTGAAGTTATTTTTTTAGCTTAGTTAGCCCAGCTCTTAAGCATATGCATAAATTCTTTGGCCTTTCCGTAACTGAATTGGCGGATGCCCGCCTTTATTTTGTGGGAAGGAGGTCGTGACTTAATAATCTTGAATTCAATCTTTCGCTCCAATAGCTTATAAGCCTTGCAAAATCGGGCACCCTCTTCCAGACCTTCGACAAGCAAGGTGATTGATCGATTTGACTGAGAGTCATATTCACTGGACAAAGAAGTGATACATTCTTGAATTGTGTTATAAAAAGGAACGCGTACATTGTCAGGGCCTTAAGAACGTTGTATTCTATCATTCTTTAGCTCTAGGAAGGACTTCGACCACTTCGAATACCTCCTCTGCGAAAATATTGATGGAAAATCGAGAGATATGAAACGTTTCTCCAGGTGGCTGGCGAAAGTGTCGGTGTGGTGTGTTTTTTAACCAGATCCTCTAGCTATCGTATCTTATCTGAAGTGGTATTGGAATTACAGATTAGAATTCAGTGGTGCTTTCATTTGGATGACAGCTGGTTCAAACGGGCGAGAGCTTGTTGTTGCATCCCCAAAACCTGCTGTTGCATTTCCTCTGAATCAGCACTTATCCCTAATGGCAGAGGAGACTCCCTCTTTATCTAAATGTCTGTTAAGTACATAGTAGTACTTGTAGTACTGTTTTCTATTTGGAGCCTGGTGAGCCTACTACTTAAGACACTGGCATTTTTTTGTCAACTTTAAGAGTTGGCTTAAAACACTCAAGCGGATTCGCTAATGTCGGGCATATTATATATATATCCGGCATGATATCATCATTTACACTCAACTATGAAAGTGCATACTTAATGAGAAGTTGCCCTTTTTAATGCATTTTAAAATTTGTGATTGAAATTATTTCTCTTTTTAAATATTAAATCAATATATATATAATCTATATTTTTTCTACTTAATCTTAAATTGTTTTTTTTTCACTATTGTTAATCAACTTTTAAATACTATTTATATCTTCTTATACGTATATGTCCACACTTACAATTTAATAAATGCATGGAACGTTAGAATGCTATTCGAACAAATTTATCACTGCATAAATGTTTTGTACGATACGAAGATGACTTTGGCTCTTTTTGGATGGTTGATGACAATGAGTTCATTAAAAGACGTCATTTATCTCGGGGTCGCCCTCGAAAATATGAACCGTCTTCGTCACCAAATTCAAATTATTCAGACTGCGCAATTCATACTAATAAAGACTCCTGTGATAATTGTTGTCAATCTTGTACTAATACCGTTGCTGATCAGGAAAACAGAATAGAAAATAAGGATGTAAGTGAAGTCTGTCAGAAATCTTGCTTTAACTTATATAATGAAAGCCGAGGCAAAAAAGATCAAACAACTATTGATGAGGGTGCAAGTGGGAGTGAGTTCAAAAGCAGATGTTCCAAAACTATTGCAAAATCGGAGGCAGTGGTTTCGGTGACTAACGACTTTATTAATACTGATGATGATGCAGATTCTATGCATCACAAAGATATCAATCATTTCTATTATTAGTCGCGTTATATATAACTGCGTTGCAAGCATTGCTGTTTATTATTTAAACATTTTTTAGGATTCGGCACAATATTGCCCTGATGTATGAGCAAAGTTCGAGTTACATACAATATGAAGAAAGGTATTTATAAATAAAATGATAAGCATATCTTTGATATTCATGAATGTTATTATTGTTGTATTAGGGGCTTGGGAAGCGTCATAAAATTAAAATACTTATAATATGTAGCCTTCTAACTCATTTGGTGTACTGAGCTCTAGAAATGGATAATGGATAAAGATAAGCATCTCCTTTAATTTAATAATATTTTAAAAATAATCACGATGAAAGCAATTCCTACCACATATCAATTTTCAATAACTTCATCCGTTTACACGAAATTGATAAAAGTCCATTTTGAATTCCCAAATCCTGCAAAATTAAATAAATATAAATTGTATTTGTGTGGGTTCCGACTAGAGCGGTTTCTTTTACAATTTTTTTCTTTTAATACCCTGAACCCACTAAAATGGGTAAAAAGGGTATAATGTTTTTGTCTAAATGTATTTAACAGGCAGAAGAAATCATCTCCGACCCAATAAAGCATATATATTCTTGATCAGCATCAATAGCTAAGTCGATCAAGCCATGTCCGTCTGTCTGTCCGTATGTCAGTTTGTCCATCCGTCCGTCCGTCCATCTGTCCGTCCATCCGTCTGTCCGTATTTATGAACGCAATTCATTACTACTGGCGAGCCAAAAAAAAAGAAATGTTTCTCCGGTAGGGCTCCAACACGCGACAGACCGCACCGCTTGCCTCTTCTCAACGGCCAAACCAATAATAAAGCATTTAAAAAAAAAAAAACGAATTGAAATATCAGCACAGAAAACAATACAATCGAAATTGCAATATTGCTGATAGAATTCGAAACAAACGCACATGAATGTGTGTGTGTGTGTGAGTACATGTACACAGAATCCTTGGAATCCAATTGTGCAGTAAAACTTAACTTAAGTATTTCTTCACAGATCTGAATGAAATTTTCTACAGTATATCTTATTGGACCATATAATACTTGTGTATTCTCAAAATTAAAGTTAAATTGATGGGCAATCAAAGTTGGATTTTTAACTCGATGTATAGCTCTGCGGTGGTAGCGATAGGTATAAGATGAAAGATACTTGATTTGTATATAATATTCTAGAAGCAACATATCAAGTTACGTGACTGTAGTTCTTAATATTAACCCAATTTGCTCAAGAAACAGGATGTCGTTATCGATTTTTATCGATTGCTTGGAAACGGAGTAAGTTATCGATTATCGGAAACAACCTCGATCTGCACTAGGCACTAGGAGGACCTACAGCTAAAATGTCAAGTATCTAGCCCTTATAGGTTCTGATATCCTTGCGTTTATATATACGGACCCGGCTCTTGTTGCTAATGAAGAATATATATACTTTATGGGGTCGGAGATTCTTCGTTTGCACATATAATACCCCTTTTACCCATTTTCAATGAATTTGGGGTATAAAAACCAACATAAAATTATCTCAACACTGCTTCAACACCAACATCATTCTGGTAGAGGCCATTATAACCATCGTTAGAACTATCTATTGTTATCTCTCGGCTCCGATTGTAAACACACTCAATTTTTCCCTGACTATTGTCGCTAAAAAGTCTATTGCGAAGATAGAACCTGTTTTTGTTGGTGTGTCATAGTGTAAGTTGTCAAATTAACACGGCAAGACATTAATTTAAATCTTAGATAACTGCCTGCTTCTTTTATAGCCTCGCTTTGCATTAACTGTTATGTTTTGGATAGTTTAAGGAACAGAACATAAAGGACAAAAACAATATGTAACATTTGCTATAATAGAACTGGAAGCTCTTTTCAGTTAAAGGCTGAGTGCGTATCACTTGTGCAATTATGCTCTCTAGTGATAAGCACTTTGTCATGATTAATATGTAGAGTGAACATTTTATTACGCAACTGGTTGATTCCCTTTGGACCGGCTGGCTCATCGGTTCTCTTGGTGTAGTCCTATCCTATCAACGCTACTACGTCGGTAGCAAAACAGACAACAACTAAGTGAAAATAACTAAAGTGAGACTCAAATATAAATTAACAGAATTAAGACACTATTTATCCTCTTCACTTTTCCAGATCGGGCCCCGGTTCCGGAGCCAGCGTACCCGCCCTACCTGAGACTATCACGTACTCTCGTCTCCCTCATGCGCGTGCCGGCAGTCATGCCCCCTCTCACCATCATCAGATAATTAGCCGGAAATTTTTTTCTTCAGTATTTGCATTTAATTTATTGAATTTCTTGAAGCTATTAACAATTAATATTATTTCTTATTGCATTTATCTTTGCAGGATATCTTCACTCGGCTATTTAAAATGTCATGAAAGCGGACATTGCTTTTAAACTTCAGCAGGTGCGTATAATTATTTGCATAATTATAAAGTTATAATAATTTATAGTATGTACGAAATCTCTCAATTTTTTCTCTTTCAGGGGGCTCAATTATGAGTCTGCTGCTGACTCTGCCTGTTGCTCGGGGCGCCCATGACCGTTATAGAACTGACTCACTCGGATGATGTCGGCGTGGTCTCTCCCGAGGCCGTTTCTTAGCCTATCCTTCGGGATATAGTCGTGGAAAAGTGCGCCGTTGAGCCGGAACCTGGCCCTGATGGTGACCTGCTGGCCTCTCTGGTTCGAGAGTTTTTTGGACTGTTTGGTTTTTGGACTTGACAAAAGGCATCGAAGGTTCCTTGAAGTCTATTTGGCTTCTGTCACACTTCTGGGTACCGTCGAGGCATGCTGTGGGACGGGTGCGACGCAGGATCGAATCTATATCGTCCTGGGTCACATGGCTCTGAAGCTTATATAACTATGGCCAGCACCCACCAAATGTAAACACAGAGTGAGACAAAACCAATGGTAAACAATAAACAAACTCTAGCAAAATTTTTCTTAATATCATATTTTAATACAGGTTATTTTGTCATGGCGACCTCCTCCAGGCTATGATAGACAGTCAGAAACGCTTCGACAAATTGCGAACGTGTCGTCTGACAAAACTACCCTAATATTGCATTTTTATCACGAGATGCCTTTGTCATTGCGGCTACCAACAGGCTACGGTGCACGGTCGCAAACGTATCGCCAACATGCGTACGTAACTTGCCACCATCAGCCACAACACGAAAAACTCCTCATGCTCACGGATACTTTGGGTATCTCTGCCTTCTTGTGCTTCGCGGATTCCACTAAACGCTGCGCGGTCATGGGCCCCTTCTCGTGCCACACAACACATCAGCGGTTTGGATCCTAAAGCCAAGGGAGATTTTTCTCTGTACCTGCGTTGATATTTTTATTTATTTCCTCCTTCAGTCGGGAGCTTCTTCAATTTGGGCCCCATATTATTACGGAACTGCTTGTTTCCTTTTTGGCCCGCGCCGGCTGGCTCATCTGGGTGTAATCCCATCCCTGGCCCGCAGTTCGCACAACCGATATCAACACGCTACTACGTCGGTAGCAAAACAAACCTACGCAACACTTTAAACTACAAACTCGATAAACATCAAATGAACAACGCAAATGGTTTTAACAACAACTAAATGAAAATAACAAAAGTGAGACTTAAATATAAATTAACAAGAAAAAACAGTATTTATCCTCTTCACTTTTCCAGATCGGTCCCCGGTGCCGGACCCAGCGTACCCTCCATACCTGAGACTATCACCTAATTCCGTCTCCCTCATTATAGCCAGGGGATGGCCTTCATTAGCCCGTGTCGGCATTAATGCCCTCTCTCACCATCATCAGACATTTCTTTCTTTGGTTTTTCCATTTAATTTATTTAATTTCTTGCAGTTATTAACAATTAATATTATTTCTTATTGCATTTATCTTTGCAGAATATTTCCACTCTGCTATTTAAAATCTCGTGCAAGCGGACATTTTTTTAAATAATTTCTAAAATTTTTTTTGTTTTTTAAGAATACCTTTTTTTTAATACATCATACTGAACAGACGAAAAAAACACTGCAAAGTTTTTGGTAGTTGCAGAAAAATAAAATATGAAAATATACCAATAAAAGGTAGTTGTTGCACCACTGAGTACTCGCTGAAACAAATATGTATATTAATATGCCTTACAAATTTTTAGGACGAGTGGCATGTGGCATCTTTTCTTCGGTGCCCCGTAGTTGTTGGCATACAACGCATTGTTCAAGTAGACCTTGTCCTCAAAAGTTAGCAGGTAGGTCTCGGAGATTTTTTGGCCGATCACCTTAATAAGAACAGTCATGCCCAGAACGGCCTCTTCGGATTTCAATTTTTCAATTCAATTTTTTTTCCAAGTCGTTTGTTCATTTTTAATCAAACTTTGTCGCAATCTTAAATCTCTGTAATCTCTTTCCGGGTTTGCCTTAACTTCTCGTGCTGAGCTTTTTGAATTTTGTCTCTGATATGTGTTTCAAATTCTATTAGGGCTGCATGGATGACGTTTGTGACTGAATGTATTGTTCTATTATATTCTATAGTTAAGAGTAGAATAAGGTCTATGGTTTCGTGTATCTTCCGATCGATCTACATACACCGTGCGATTTCTGGTATTTTTTTGGAAATATATTTTTCCCAAGATCTGTTTTTTTATTTTTGGGTCTTGATGGCGGTAAAGAGCGAATTGGACCAAAGTCGGAGAATGAGTTCAAAAGGGTTTTCCATTTATGCACGTCAATTGTCCTGAGAATCTTTAAGAAATCCTCTAGCGTATGTCGTTTGATTCAAGAGTTGACATTATGTGACAAGAATGTTCTTATTACCATTGTATCTATAAATTACCAAATTAAAAGAAGGACTTAAATCTGCAAAACTCAATTATGATCATTTCCAGGGTGGGATTTATTAGCAGCGTGAGCAACGGATGTATTAGTTTTGGTTTAATAAATCTGTTTCTCCAGAGCACTGCGCCCTGCGTAACATGAAAATACAAACAGAGAAGCGATACTCCTGAACGCGTCGGTATTGTGGATAATCCTTTTAATATTGTGTTAAAGATAGATTTTCGCTATTCGAAGAAACTCAGAATAGAATATGAGATTACTTATACTTCGGAGCTTTCTTGTGCCATTTACAATATCTGTTTAATTTCATTGATTGTTTCATATCTGTATAAGCCGGCAACCAAGTGATCCAACATTTATGTATTGTTATAATCATTTTGCATAAATTGTTGGGCATGCAGTTCGCTAGCAATCCAGCTGCCTTGGAATCATAGATTCGGCATAACGGTTGCACAGAAACATAATTGGGGAATCAGCTTAGCCAAAAGCCACAGTGGGCTCAAACTCCACCAATTCCGCATTCTCGCAGATTAAAACAAGGATGATAAGGATCAGCTATAAGGCGTTTTCATGTCTGCATCTTTTGACGCTTTCTTGACTGCTCCATGCAAAAAAAAAAATAGTAATGAGCCAGACACAGGGTATCTTCCAGTCAGCAATTCTCGACTTGCGTTAAAACATGTTCACAAGATATTTGTTGCTTGTCTTGAAAATGCGTTATTGTTATAGCAAGCAAATAAGCACCCTTAAGTTATTGATAAAATTTCTTACACACTTTTTTTGCACTTATATACCCTTCATAACAAGAATACAAAAATTTGTATTATAATGGCAACTGCTTAAAGAACGTTTGTTCAATTACTAAGAATCTTCAACAATTTTACTCAGGCGTAGCTAACAATAATACATATTTATGTTCATGATATTGCTTAACTACTTGAGTTTTGAGAACAGGCTGTGCGCTACGCAATGATCCAACTCAGCGACATAGTCGAACAGTTCCTCCATACATGTTTCGGTTGTTTTTGATCGACTATTTACACGATCGTTGCATTCTTGATATTTGTTATATAAAGATTCGATGTGACCTTTAGCCTGGCACTTATCCTGAAAATATAAAATGTGATCATTAATACAATACACAACAGCATATAATCCATAAATATCCCCCAAAGGAGTACTCACTCTAAGAGCTGCTTGAGGGTCAACAAGTTCCTCTTCATCATCGTCAGCTTTAACCACGGGAAGTCCGACAAATTTCCAAAATGCCATTTTAGACGCTGCGAATGACGTTAGATTTGGAATAACAATCTGTCAATGCATTTGTAAATAAAAATAAATGTGCACATAAAATGTATGAAAAAAAATATGGATCGGCTGATTAGTTAATGGTAATGTATGAAAACTGGAATAACTCATAATTTAAAAACTTGAAACAAATTTCATTTATTAACTTAAAAATAAGTACCAATTGCCGACTGCTTGTATGGAACTTAAATGAGAAAAGCAAGTTAAAAACTTTTTGTTTAGTGAGTTGTGATGCAATCAGAACAGAAATTTTATTATAGCGTTGCCACACTTATAAAATATTTTCTGATATGGCTGCAAATATTCAAGCCGAAATTTTTTTTAACGGCGTTGTTTTTTATTTTATTAATATTTATAACAAATTGCTAGCCGTCCTTTAACTTATTTTGAACAATTAAAAATAACTCTAACAATTAAGTTGAAATAAACTTTTGGTAAGCAAAATATACTTGCTTATTATTAATCGATAGAAAGGAGCTCAAACATCGATAACATTGATATTACACCCCTTCGAGGCCTCGTTTTTTCTGTGTATTTTTTATTCGACAGTGTTTTAATACTTCATGTGTTGTTATATATGGGGAATATTGTATTTTTATGATGCAGATAAAACATCATTGACTTCTGCGTTAAAAGTTTTAGAAGCGCCATATTCCGTGGAGGGACAGATATCTATAACATTTTCGTATCCCCATATAATACACACCCGGACGTGCCTAACGACATAGTCGGCAGTCGTCAGCTTAAAATGTAAGTAGCAAAAGTAATCATATTTTTTGCTCAATTTGTGTTTGGTCAAAATAAGAATGTCAATAGTTAAACTAGCTGAAGTGTGAACTTGTTTTTGAAGATTCCGTAAACGTGGCCAATTGTTATGCTATGGATACCAGCAATATTTACAACTCAATTAATGGAGGAGAACCCTCAGGAGAACAGTCACATATTTCGATGCAAGGGTATCGTGATGGCAATGGCTTGAATTCTTTATGCCCAACGAGGATGCATAGAAACTTTAAATTATTAGCGGATCCGCAATTGCTGAAATGTGGTTCTAAACTTTACCGTTACGACGGTGTCGTCCCCGGAGACCCCACATACCCGACAATTACACCTCGTGATCCACGAAATCCTCTTATTCGAATTCGAGCCAAACCTGTCGAACCATTAATGTTGGTTGTACCCCGGTAAGTAGCAATGTAATTAGTCATTGATTAGATCTTGATATAACATATAAGACTTATAGGTTTGTGATCGATTCTCATTACGTTGGTCAGCCACCTGCTATTGAAGTGACGGTAGTGAATCTTAACGACAACATCGACAAGCAGTTCCTTTCCGGCCTATTAGATAAGTGTGGGCCCACTGATGAAATAAATATATATCATCACCCCACGACAAATAAACATTTAGGCATCGCACGTATAGTCTTTGAAAGCACCAAAGGAGCACGTCAGTTTGTCGATAAATATAACCAGAAATCAGTAATGGGAAAAGTAAGTTTTGCTAGAATTTAAAGAGATTTGTTAAGTAAAATATAAGAACACTGTATTTATAAACATATTACTTTTATTTTCTTTTTTATACAGATTTTAAACGTATTCTGCGATCCGTTTGGTGCCATTTTGAAGAAGACTATTGATAATTTAACAAATCCCGTTGTAGCCAGGCCGTTAATAAGCACCACGCCGCATTCGACAACAACTCTGGTTCCGGCAAACGAACATTTTCATGATTACACCGAAAAAGAAGGTCCACATCTATTATCTGGAAGTGGTTACAACTCATTTCACAAGAGTGCGGTGTTTGGAGAAATAGATAATGATCGTCACAGAGAACGTGAACGGGATAGATTTACAAAAGATCGTGTACGGCATTCCGTTGAAAGAGGCTATGATCGAGAACGTGGGACACGTAATAAATATTCCAGCTCACGTCATAGTCGACATTACTATTCTCGAGGATCTCGTGAAAAAAGTTCGGACTCAAGCAGGGATCGGTTATACAATTCTAGAGAACGAGAAAGAGATACAAGGTCATACGACTATTCTCGTTCTAAAGGACGAGATAAATTTCGAGAGCGTAATAGATCAAGAGATCATTCTCGAGATCGGGTAAGGGAGAGAAGGGATCATCGACCAAGTACGTCAAAAGAACGAGATTATAGAGAAAGAGATCGTGATCGATCCATTGATGTTGGAAGTGATCGCAAAGAACGGATTAGTTCTAAACACGATAAACGTTATTCAAGTCATGAGTGCCATGAAGATGAAAATGGAACCTCTTCAGTGTTCAAAAGCCAACAATATTATTCTGGCATTCCGGTATCTAACCTTATATCATCTGATAATTATGGATATGATCATTATGGTTATACTGTTAGTGAAAATATTCAATCTTGGTCTAGTTCCCACAGAAGGTGGCCCGTCTCACAACCGGATTCACAGCTTATACCCCCACCACCTCCACCCCAGGAAGAAGAAGAAAACTGGGATGATCCCCAGCCACCAGCTCTAACGTTACATTCAAAAGATATCTCGCCTTCATCCGAGTCAGTTGGTATAAATCTACATTCACCAAGGCGACCAAAGTCAAATAAATACAATAATAATCTCAATAGTACTGACGCGGAAATTAACACAGAGAATGTTGATTTAGATACACGTATTGCCCTTATATTTAAGGGAAAGACATTTGGCAATGCTCCACCATTTTTGCAAATGGATAGTAGTGATTCTGAAACAGACAAAGCGAAGGTCGATGAAATTAATGAAACTGTTGACCCGCATTGCGATTCGAATAGCATACAAAACAAAAAAGAGAAAAATGTTTCGGCCTTACAGCAGCACGGTGCCAGCGATATATCAAGTGACGACGATATTTTAATTAAAAAAGAAATAGTCAAGCACCCAGTTGAAAAGCTGGAAACGAATAATAACAATGATGATAACATGTCATTGTCAAGCTTATCGTCACATGA